GGTGAAGTCACACCACGTCAAGAATTCAAAGCTCGTGCTCGTTACTTGAATGAAAAATATGATTATGATGTCAACGAAGCACGTAAAATCTGGTGTTTTGGACCTGAAGGCACCGGACCCAATCTTTTGATGGATTGCACCAAAGGTGTTCAATATTTGAATGAAATTAAAGACAGTTGTGTTGCTGGCTTTCAATGGGCCACAAAGGAAGGTGTTCTTGCTGAAGAAAACGTTCGTGGTGTTCGTTTCGATATTCATGATGTGACATTACACGCTGATGCTATCCATCGTGGTGGTGGTCAAATTATTCCCACAGCTCGTCGTGTTCTTTACGCTGGTATGCTCACAGCTAAACCACGTCTCTTCGAACCCGTATATCTTTGCGAAGTTCAAGTATGTCTTATTAGTAGTTAAGAAATATGTTTTGCGTAAAGAAATTGGTTGTTGTTTTAGTGTCCCGAAGTTGCTGTCGGTGGTATCTATGGTGTATTGAATCGTCGTCGGGGTCACGTTTTTGAAGAACATCAAGTTACCGGTACACCTATGTTCATCGTTAAAGCTTACTTACCTGTCAACGAATCCTTCGGTAAGACTAGACTTCAAATTGAAAACAGATGATGTTCATCGTGTTTCGATTAGGTTTCACTGCTGATCTTCGTTCAAACACAGGTGGACAAGCTTTTCCACAATGTGTCTTTGATCACTGGCAAGTCATGAATCAAGATCCATTTGATGATTCCTCGAAGATCCGTCAAATCATCAACGATATTCGTAAACGCAAAGGCTTGAAAGAAGGCATTCCACCACTTGATGACTACTATGATAAATTATAAACAAAGTCTTCTATTCAGTATTTGTTATCTACTCACGAACAGTTCACTGTTTTAACACCGGTTTTTTTGTTAAGAAAAAAGAGAAAAAAATGCAAAAGATCTTTTTTTTGTTGTTGATTGTTTTTATAAATATATAAAAAAACACGTTGTTTTCTGTTCGTTAATTAACACAGTTTTGTTTTCTTTTTTCTCAACTAATAGCAAAACAACCATTGATCTGTCCGTCAATGGTGGTGTTACTTGAAAACTCCTTTGACTATAGTTTCGATGTTTTCGGTATAAAAAGAAAGATAAGAACGAATGATATCACATCGAGTTTAGTTCTCATCATTTAAAAGGTAAGATGAATGCTAAAGGTATTAGTATCTTCATATATCTACTTTCAAGTGAGTGTCATGTAGTACATATCAAATTATAATGATGAATATTTTACAAACAGTAGAACATTTTTCTGGTGTAAAAACTGAAACAGTAACGTGTGATTTTGAAATCGACGAATGTGGATGGAGTTTAGAAATACCGTGGACAATTTTTCCATCAGGCAGTGCGCCAGAGACAGCTAATTCCGGCCCTACGATGGATCATACCACTGGAAGTAAGTCTTTTTCAGTTGTCCACTGTTTCTAGTAGGAATCTATTGAAGCTGGTAATTATGTTCGTTTTATGGCCAATCTTTTGCTTGAGGGCGAAAATTTTGGATTGATGAATACAAGTGTGTATCTCGAAACTGCAACTAGTTTCACATTTTGGTACTTTATGCACGGAACTCGAATTGGAACCTTAGCATTCGTTGTCAATAATCAAACAAAATGGGAAAAAAGTGGTCGACAAGGAGTTCCAGCATGGTATCAAGCAAATGTGACACTACCTGCCGAGGAAGATCTTCAAGCATGTATTCCGTTGTTACATCCTTTAATTAGCTAAACTCAGCGTCTTTCTATAGATTGCCTTTGTTGCCAATCGAACAGACCTCGGTCGGTCGTCCGATATTGCCATCGATGATATTGTTCTACAAGGAGAACCTGGTTATTTTCATTGATCTTTTGCTTCCGAGCATCATCTTCAATATTTCAGTGCCAATCAATACGAGAACACCTAAGCCACTTTCGACAACGACGCCACGTATCCGCTTCAATGCTAGCTGTGACTTTGACGTTAATCGAGAATTATGCGGATGGAAAAGCGACACGAAATACGGTTGGCAAGTCATTTATGAACAAGGAGAGAATGTTACCATAGGACCGTCCAGTGATTATAGCAGTATCAGTGAGTATCCACTGCTTAGTGTTCTAGTTATTCATTTTTAGAATGTATGGCTCGTTGTAGTGAGACTCAGTGACGATGGTAAACTATGCAAGATACCTTTCGAGGAGAAATCTGTTCAATATTACTACTGTACATCAAACAAAAATAAACTACAATGTAAAGGAAATGATAACAAATGGATGAACTGTCGAGATGGTATTATGTGTAAAGCCATAGTAATTGTTTCATCTGCATTTTGTATATTGTACAGGTGGTTTCGTGCAAATACAAACCAGTCAATTCGGCGAAATGGATGAACGATCTCAGTTCGAATCTCCAGTACTCGATGCACTGTCAGATGAAGGCTGTCTTCAGTTTCAGTACAACGTTGCGGGTAGTGATAATGACTGGCTCAATGTATATGTGGAAGACTATTGGAATGGTGAGCAGACGTGTGTATGGCATATGAATGGATTGAGTGTGCCAAATCGATGGGTGGCAGCAGAATCACCAATTTCAGTGGAAAAGGGCGGAAGATACAAAGTAAATATCAGTTTTATTATTCGAATAAAGATAGATGACATGACGTAATGATAGATCGTATTTGAAGCACGAAAAGGTGCAGTGGATGGAATGGGTTTGGTTTCGTTAGATCATATTGTAATATCATCTAAACCATGTAAAGTATAGTTTAACTCGATGAATATAAGTAGACTAGAATATAATTCTATATAGGTGAACGTAATTATTCAGTGCTTAAATGTCCTTCAGATCCAATATTAGTAACTACAGTGGCTCCGAAAACTACTACGATGGCTATTGATAGTAGTGCAATTACAAGCCAAGCAACTGAAATATTGGTTACAACAACGACAAGCACGACAAGGGAAACTATGGTTGTAGTGACATCAACGTTTAATGATGGCGAAAGAAACTCAACAAAACTTGGATCTCCGGCGAAAGATCCGCCCGTTGTACCGATTGTAGTCGGTGTTGTGGGAGGCGTCGTTGTTCTTTCGATTGCTATTGCCCTAGTTATTTGGCGTAAACCTATTCTAGCGCGTTTGGGTCATGGACGTTCGAATCGTATTGCAATGTCTACATCCTATAAATCAACACCAGATGGGACTGTAGAAATCAACATGCAGACACCAGATCGAGCACGCCTGATATAGCACAATAGGAGTGATATTTTTATTTAGAACAACTGCTACTTTTTAATCTTAACTGTCAATTGAGTATCAAATACATGACCTAATCCGCAATGATAGGAGAATCATTCAATAATTATCAATAATAATTGAAATCGTGATAACACGTAATCTCACTTTCTTTCGTTCGTACTCGTTCGGACAATATATTTCTCAGTTTATTTTCGTTTATTCTAACGGTGTCACACAGGTAAATTTTTTTCATTCCCGAACTCATCTTTTCTAGTATCTGATAATGTGAATGATGATGATACATTTTGCTTAACTGTCAACATCGTGATAGATAATCATATGAGTGATGATAAGACACTAACTTACATTAACGTCATCATTGTTGTTTTTTACCAATAGTTAACAGAATAACATGAGTTTCTTATTAAGATTTATTCTACTTTACTACGCTTTCAGTAGGTTTCCCTTTGAAACTCACTTGATAATGTTTGCAATTTACAACTCTTGCTGTAGGATCTCATCATGTGATCGTATGTCCTACTGTAACATGTGACTTCGAAATCGATGAATGTGCGTGGACGTTAGATTCAACATGGAGAATTTATCCATCTGGTAGCACACCAGACACAGCCAGTTCTGGTCCTACGATGGATCATACTACTGGAAGTAAGCTATTCTTTTGCTACGTATGTATTCTATCTCATATGTTCCTCTCGTGAAGGTGGTAGCTACGCTCGTTTTATGGGAGCACGTTTACCTGATTCGAGTGCATTTGGCTTAATGAGCACTGATACTGAGATTAGACGTGTGGCTTCATTTTCATTCTGGTATTTTATGCATGGCAGTCAAATTGGTACGCTGACATTGTTTGTAAATGATGAATCTGTTTGGAGCAAAAGTGGACGACAAGGAGTGCCTGCTTGGTATCAAGCAACTGTTTCTTTAACTCCAGCTGAGCATGTCAAAGTAAACTTCATTTGTAGGTTATTCTGAATGATAACACAAAATCTACTTTGGATAGCTGGGATTTGTTGCTAATCGAACAGGTCTTGGTCGATCTTCTGATATTGCCATTGATGATATTATTCTACAAGGCGAGCCGTGTAAGAAATAATGTTGAAATCTATTTCTCTTCCTTATCTTCGATATTTTAGCTACATCGAGCACCAGACACACAAAACCGACTTCAACAACTACACCACGTACTCGATTCAATGCTAGCTGTGATTTTGATGTTGACAAAGAGTTGTGCGGATGGAAAAGTGACACGAAATACGGTTGGCAAGTCATTCATGAAAGAGCAAGTAACATTACCATTGGACCGTCTAGTGACTATAGTAGTATCAGTATGTACTTATTATAAAACGAGAGAAGAAGATGTATTCCCTAAAATATTGTTTTCTCACAAAAGCAAGATCAAGTGATGATGGAAAGTTCTGCAAAATTCCATTCGAAGAAAAGTCTGTTCAGTACTACTACTGCACGCTAAACAAAAAGAATCTTCAATGTAAAGGAAACGACAACAAATGGTTCACTTGTCGATACGGTATAATATAATCAGTAGCGACAATGATTCTAGACTTTCTCTTTTGTATTGTACAGGTGGTTTCGTGCAAATACAAACCAGTCAATTCGGCGAAATGGATGAACGATCTCAGTTCGAATCTCCAGTACTCGATGCACTGTCAGATGAAGGCTGTCTTCAGTTTCAGTACAACGTTGCGGGTAGTGATAATGACTGGCTCAATGTATATGTGGAAGACTATTGGAATGGTGAGCAGACGTGTGTATGGCATATGAATGGATTGAGTGTGCCAAATCGATGGGTGGCAGCAGAATCACCAATTTCAGTGGAAAAGGGCGGAAGATACAAAGTAAATATCAGTTTTATTATTCGAATAAAGATAGATGACATGACGTAATGATAGATCGTATTTGAAGCACGAAAAGGAAAAGTGAATGGAAACGGTCTAGTGTCATTAGATCATATAGTACTATCAGGAGCTAAGTGTATGTATAGTTCTAACATCTATAATATCTGGAAAGAGCGAAGGTATTTTTGTAGGTTCAGGTGAATATCCGGTGATAGAGTGTCCTCCCGAACCAACAACCCCATCAACGACGTCTACCACTACGACCACTGTGAGCAGCACCACGACGTCTACTACTACCACCGCTATGAGCAGCACCACGACGTCTACTACTACCACCGCTATGAGCAGCACCACGACGTCTACTACTACTACTACTACAGCAAGTACAACTAGTTCATTACCCGTTATCAGTAGTAGCATTAAAATCAGTACAAGTGAGCCACAATCAACAACTGATAGAAGTACAATTGCAGAAGTCACTACCGAATCTGTTGGGTCAAGTACAACCACCTTTCCTATATCGACAACCGAACTTACAACAACTAAAGAGCCTGTACCAGAAGTTTCTACAACAACTACTACTAGTACAACTACTACTTCCACTTTTTCTCCTACGACAACAACAACACCCTCATCTACATCGACGATCACGACGACAACCACCTTTGTAGAGATATCCTCGACCGATATGGAGGAGAGAAAAACAACAACAACTAATAAACCACCTTCAAACGGTTCACGCGTCATTGGTGGTATTGTAGGTTCCCTCATTGGTGTGTGTGTCATAGTTTTGCTTGTTGCTCTGTACTTCAACCGTGAAAAAATACGTGTTCGTCTCATATCGAGATCAAATGATAAGGATGGCATTGTTCCTATATATACAAAAGCTGATCCAAGCGAAAGCTTCGTTCGATTACAAAATATCCGCGAACGAAGTACCTCTTTCGTTAACTGATTAGAACCATATTTTTTGTACAAAAACCTTTTAATAATATTTCTGACGTACTAATCAAATGACTAGTAAATAAAGATGAATCATATTAGAAATACTCTCTAAAAAATCAATGTTCGTCGATACCATAACACGACGATCTTATTTCTTATTTACTCAGTTTTATATGATTAATTATAATAACGATCTATTTTCTCGGACGCCGAGTGTAAAAACTTGAAACATTACGAAGTAAACCTGTCTTTTTATCGATTCTCCATTTATTTAATGACGATCTTTTCGCTTTTCGCGGAATAATATGCTGTACTCTTCGGCGAAGAGAAAAGAAAAAAAATACAAGTACACAGCAGGAGACGTTTAAAGGCAGTTTTTTCCTCAGAGTAGTTTCTAAGCATTGATGTTGTTCGTCAAACGCTTCAAACATGCTTTAACGGAATTTGAGACACTGCCGAATGAACTTTTCGTCGAAATTTTCGGTTATCTCACCTGCGTAGAAACTGTATGGGCTTTTGCACGACTGAACAGTCGCTTTCGAAATTTAACGCTTGAGTATTGTCGTACCTTTAATTTCAAATCAATCAGCAAAACAAAGCTCGATTATATTATTCAACATCACAATATTCGTCGATGGAAGTCATTGCGTCTCTCCGACGATGACGACACACCGGGACAAGTCACGTACTTCTGTCAAATACTTTCCTTTGCAAACAATCTTTCACACCTAGAAGCATTGACTGTTGTCAATACTCAGTGCAATGTTACAACCTCGTTACTATCACAAATAACATCGTTTCAACATCTGGTTTCATTAACAATTGGCTCGATATGTGGAAAGAATCTTTCCTGTATTAATTTAGTTTCTTTAAAATATCTGATTATTAATTCGTGTATGCACACAACCTGGTTTCAGGTAAGAGTCTTCGATTTTTCTAATAGTTGTGTGAGTAAATCACTGCTGATAAATACCACCTTGAGAATATTGCATCAATAAAGCGACTTTTTTGGTCTAGAAAATTCCACTTGACGGCCTTCAACACACTTTTGAACATAATTGCAATCATGAGCATTGCTTGGTGTATCCAACGACCTTGAGAAACTTGAAAATATTTGCTAATCAACAAGGTGATACCGACATTGTTCGCACAGCGTTAAAACCGTTATCTAAATTGACAAATCTGACTATCTATGACGAGGCGTGGGAAAATGCAGTACCTGACGGACGAATCTGGGAAGAACTGATCAAATCCTCGTTGCCATGCCTGAAAGAATTCAATTTTTGCTTCAAATTCTGGCGAGATTTCACTTCTGCGAGTGACATTAATTGGATAATTTCAACATTTTCTACGCCATTCTATCGCCAAGAAAAATCCTGGTTTGTTCAATGCGATACACATTATCAACAGTTCAGCGTAGCCATGCTCTATTCACTACCATATGTTTTTGAACATTTCGAAGTCATAACACATTCTTTCCAGAATAGCTTATCGAATACCAACGATACCTCAAAAATACAGTCGTATAAGTCCGTTAAAACACTAGTTGTCGATGCAAAATGTGAAACAATGAATGAAAGATTATTACTAAGGAATATTGTCAATCTACATCTAACACATCGGTATGTATTTGTTGATTGGATACTCAAAATTCGGCGATTGACCCAATTGACTTTCGGACATCAAGTAAATCTTTCTTATGAGGACTTTCTTCTTATACTGAAAAGCTGTCCTCACCTGAAGTCATTGGTGACACCCTATCAAGTATTATGTAGCATAACAAACCGATGGAAAGATAATCTCATCTGTGATATACTATCCCGTAAAATTCGTTCGTTAAAACTGACTTCGTCTGATTGTTTGACTGTGAATCATAAGAATTATATCAAAGTTGATGAGCTCTTGAACATCATTCGAGTTTTTAGTCGGCATTGTGAACATCTGAGTATTGCAGTTTACTCCAGAAACATTGTCGTGGGACTTATTTTACGATGTATGAATCAGCTTCGAAGTTTGAAAGTTTATGTACAAGAACATGGCCATAATATGCATATTTCAAAACAATGGTTAACAGATCAGAATTCAGATTTTCACAACTTGGATTACTGTCTTGTGTCCAATGGACACGAATACTCATTTTGGTTTACTCGACGATATTTGTAACATTAGCAAAACACTCGTAAACACTTCTTTTCGTATGAAACGAAATTTTTCTATTTTGATCAAATGAATGAGTTGAATAAGTATACAAAATTGTCTTATATCGAAAGAAATTCAAATTTATGGGGTTTTTTTCCTACCTAGTGTCTTTTTCCTTCCGTTCTGTCCACAATAATGAATAATATTTGCTAAATAGAAAAACAGAATTACAATAGTAGGAGTATAAAAGCACATGTTGCACTACACGTTGTTCCTTCTTCCGATCGAAAACAAACGTGGTACTTTTCTCAATGAATCCGGCGAAACGTATCAAACGAGTGTCTTCATCGTTTGAACAACTACCTAATGAACTTCTGGTCGATATACTTGGGTATTTAACTAGCGTGGATGCTGTTTACGCCTTTTGTCAATTGAATCATCGCTTTCAGTGTTTATTATTCAACTATGTGAAAGATTTTGATTTCCAATCAGTTAAGAAAAGCAAATTTGACTATGTCACTCGACATCATGATATTCATTCTTGGCGATCGTTACGTCTTTCCAATGATGAACTGACTCCATGTCAAATACAGTATTTCTGTCAACGTTATTCACAATTGCAGTATTTATCTCAATTGCAAATACTTTCTCTTGTGAATATAGATCTAAAACTCAATAGAGAGATGTTCTCTCAATTGGCATCATTTGATCAACTGGTTTCTCTAACTATCGGCACAGTTTGTGGTAGAAATATGCCATTGTTTCGATTGCCGTCACTTCGGAGATTGACAGTTATTGGATGCAATGACATGAGTTGGCTATCGGTAAGTCATTTGTTTCGCTATTAGTGAAATAAGCTTTGTTTTGTAGAATTTCGATCGTCTCGAAAAATTGAAATATACAATGAAACGTGTGTGTTCGCATGAAACTAAGTCTATGGAATTGACAACATTGACTGAACTTTATCTAGAATACACGGAAAGCGATAATGAAAGTGCTATACGAGAATCACTTGGACACTTGTCACAGTTGACCAAGCTCTCTCTCTACAAGCAAGGGACTTATGGACTATTGCCAGATGGAGGAATCTGGGAACATTTGATCAAATCGTCTTTACCGTTATTAGACACATTTCAATTTTGTTTCTCTTTTCAATCGTATGCTTATTCATCAAATGTGTTCGACAATATCATCGCATCGTTTTCTACAACGTTCTATCTTATCGAAAAACATTGGTTTGTCCGCTGTGATTTCGACAACAGATACGGCTGTAAAGGAACTCTGTACAGTTTACCTTTTGCATTTACAAAAATGCCCATCAATTGCACTTCGTTCGAGCGGAGTCTATCGACTTTGATTGGCGATGATGCTGACGAACGCGAATATAATTCGTATAGAAAAGTCAAAACATTGCTTTTCAATGAAAAATGCGAGATTCCTACTCAAGGATATGAATCTTCGAATATTACTCAATTAGTTCTTCAGACCGCTCCTCCGACAAGTTGGTACCATCTATTCACGAATGTACGTGATGTCACATTCCATCGCAATTTATATATGTCATCACAAGATTTCGAAAACTTACTTCAAATAGCCACGAAGCTTCAATCACTAAAACTATCAATATACACTTTAGTTATATTAACAAATAAGTTTACCAATGTACTCCTTTGTAACTTGTTGTCTGAACGAATTCGGTCACTGACTATAACGAGATATTTTTCCAGTGACATGGTGCCTGGCATCGCGTCGGTTCGTCATCTTGTACATGTTGTTCGCATTTTCAACCGATCGTGCCGACACTTATCCATAGGCATCGTAGCACAGCCAAGTACTGTGGCACCGATTCTCCGTCGTATGCGAAAACTACACAGTTTACATATTCATTATTTTCCGTGGGACTCTGCATCAAACAAAACTGCCGAATATCTTCTTACAAAACCACCCACCACTGTCCATGATTGTGATTTTGTGCATGCGACAACTGACGATGATTTTTACATTTGGTTTGACAATGCTGACTATTGATTTTCGATATATTGTAAATCAAGTATATTTGAAAAAGTTCGATAGATGTCACTAAGATATGGATGAATATAAGGATATCCTAGAGGTCGATGATGTAGCTAAATGACGTATCAAAAAGAAGAACAGCTGATCTTATTTCACAATTTGATTCGAATACAAGAGGAAAAATAAATAAAAAAGATATTTTTTCGGGCTTCTCGCATTTTCGATTTTTAGATCTTTATGCATTAAAAACATAACAGTACAGAAACATAATGGAAGCTGATCCAGATGAACTTTTGAATTGGCTTAAAGGAGATGGAAGTGGCGAACGTGATCTTCAAATAATTGCACTTGAACAACTATGTACATAAAAATAATTCGAGTTTCGTTAGTATTTTGAAAGTTTCCTTTTTGTTTTCAGGCATGCTAGTCCTAATGAGTGATAATATCGATCGATGTTTTGAACAGTACGTAGTTAAAGATAAGAAAATAATCAAATATTGATTGGAATATTCCATTTAGGTATCAACCTCGATTATTTCTTCCTGGTAATGAATCATTTTGTTTCTATTCCAAGATAATAAATGACAATAATTGATTTTTCTTCGTTTTGTTTAGCTCTCTGTGATATCTTTAGTGATCCATTGGCACCCACGCATGTTCTCGAAGTAACAGCACGTGCACTGACATACTTTCTTGATGTGTCAGTTGATTGTGCGAAGAAAATCACCTCACATCCAACCATTATTCGTTCGATGTGCACATGTCTACAAGCTGTTGATATTGAAGATCGAACCAACAAAGATCTTGCCGAGCAAATCATCAAAGTTTTCGAACGTCTGTGTTCACGAGAAACATCTAGCATTTATGAACAAGATGGCCTACGTTGTGTATTGGATTTCATCAATACTTGCTATTCTGTGGTACATAAAGATTCGCTACAATCAGCATTGAACGTCGTCGTGAAATTAATCGGTAAAATTGATCCACAAAATTCGCCAACATTGGATCAAACGATCGAATCATTATCAAATTTACTTTTACACGACGACACATTCGTTGCTGATAATGCACTGAGATGCTTCGCAACATTGGCTGATCGATTCTCCAGAAAGAATGTTGATCCCGAACCATTGATGCGCTACGGTTTGAAAGATGTTCTGCTCCGATCGTTACACTATGTTTCCAAATCATTAACTGAAACACACAATGCACCGAATGCACGTGGTATTACAACGAATCTATCGGTTGTAACTGGTTTATTGTCAACTCTATGCCGCGGCAGTGCGAAAGTAACACATGACCTTTTGCGATCGGATCTACCCGATGCATTAGAAGCAGCGCTTTGTGGAGGCGATGAGCGATGTGTATTGGACATCATGCGATTTCTCGATTTATTAATCGTTCTGATTTTCGAAGGTAAGGCTTTTGTGAAGAAGTTTTACGCAAATGTGAATAATATTGTTTAGGGCGACAAGCTCTACCACGTCCTGGAAGTTCAGTGCGCACAACTAATCCTCCACCTCCGCCCAATGAAACACCACAGAATCCTCCTGCATCAACAACAGCAACAACAGGCAATACAACACCCTCGGATCGATCTCAGCAGCAAATCATTGAATACATTCGTTCGCGCAACCTTCAAGTTTTCACAAATTATATCGAAGAAAATAACATCGATGTTAACTATACCGATAATGTTGGTCAAACCATGTTAAATTGGGTGTCGGCATTCGGTACACGCGAAATGGTTGAATATCTGTGTCGACGTGGTGCTGATGTTAATCGTGGTCAACGTTCATCTTCGTTGCATTATGCTGCTTGTTTCGGCCGTGCATCTATCGTTCGTATTCTATTAAAATATGGTGCCAATGTTGATTTACGTGATGAGGATGGTCGTACACCGTTAGATAAAGCACGTGAACGACAAGATGAGAATCATCAAGAAGTTGTCGATATTCTTCAATCAGCTCATGAATGGACTGATACGAAGCAGCCAACTTCGTTCGAAAAAGCTAAAGGTGATCTTGATATACAGCCAATGTATCTCGAACGTTTATTGAGTATCTTTTGCCAATTATATCAAAATACGATGATCTTAACGATTAAACGCAGTACATTACGTTTAGTTTCGAAATTGATTCACTATGCAACATTAGAACAGATTCGAGACTTGAAAATTTTAACAAGTGTCTTCGAACTACTATCGACTATATTGGACACCAACGAAGCTGATAATGATACTTCAAACATTGTTTTATTAATCATCAAAAACTTATTTGAAAAGGATCAAGATTTATTTCTTGAACAATTCCAATATCTGGGTTTAATATCGAAAATTACATCCTTAGCACTATCACACGAAAATGACAACCCAAAACCAACGGAACAAGTAGTTTTAATTAGTATTCTACCAATGGATGTCAAAGAAATCGTTTGTTCGAGACCGTATGTCTGGAATGAATTCAGTTTCTTACGAAATCGTGAATGTTTATACGTATGGAACAATTTCATTGTTATTGAATTATCCATGGGTTCCAATGGTTGGTTTCGATTCTTCACAAACAATACATTATCTACAATGTACTCATCCGGAAGTCCAGAAACCAATGTCGACACCGAAGAAAATCGTCATGACTTTCTCGATAAGTTTCAGCGAATAAAACAACAGGTGTTCGAAGGTACTGACCAAGAACGAGACACCGATAAACAACAGATGATCGTTGCACGCACGATTTTCACGTCGAATACAAATAACGAAACGATTATTACTGTTGGAAACTGGACATTGCAGTGCGATGGAGCGACACAACTTCGAATTCATAATGTTGAAGGTGAGCAAGTAACGATTCTTGAACACGATCAATCCGGTTTTATTTTCGAATCAAATCGCGGCATTCGTCATACACATAGTGGTGAGATGCCGTTACCAAATGATTTTTCGAATCCTTGGTCAACAATTGAATCTTTGACTTCATCGAACAGCTCCACAATCGCTGCTGGTCTTAAGAAAGGCAAACCGGAACAGAACAAACAACGCACGTCGGAAATTGCGCTATTTATTTACAATGAATATCTGAAAACATTCTCGCCAACAAATTACACACGTTCGATTTTGCTCGAACTTCAATCGATTGTCAAAGATTTAAACAATGAGCTGAATTCGAATTCGTCAACGAATCTACGAAGTCTTTTTGAGAAACTAAAAGGTTTTCTTTTGGATAGAACAAGTCTATCGACTTATGAATTGTCCTCGTCGGGTCTTGTCTCGACATTATTGGAAATTTTTCATGGTTTACTCGATCAGAACAATCATCTCTCATCACACGGTCAAGTCTATGAACGAGCGAAATTATTCTGTTCAGTCTTTCTTACCGATGATCAACCACAAGCATTTCAAAGTCTTATCCGAAAATTAATTTCAATCTTAGAATCAATTGAAAAATTGCCATTGTTCTTGTATGACGCACCATTTAATTATGGTGTACAAACATTTTCCAAACGTTTTCGTCTGCAAATTCAATATAAAAGTGAATTACAACTGTTCACTGATCGATCAGGCAAATTCTTGAAAATCGAACCATTGACAACAGTTGGACAATTGAAAAATTTCCTTGCATCAATGGTAATTTTCATTTTTACCTATTGATAATAAATTGACCATTGTATTTTTCAGGTTTCTAAACAGTGGTACGATCATCCACATAATCAATTAGAATTTGTGAAACAATTTAAATCAAACTCGCTAGCTACATTTACGTATACAAATGATTTCGATCAAAACGGAATCTTATACTGGATTGGTACTAACGGAAAAACAACTTCGGATTACACGAATCCATGTTCCAGTGGACTTGTTGCGGTGTCGTGTTCGGACAGTAATCGCGCATCACAACAATTGTCCGATGTAATTTCTCATTCGCCACCGGCAGATGATAGTGAAGGTACAAATTCTGGTTATAGTTGGATACTGATTGATTTAGGTTTGATGGTCATTCCAACGCATTTCACATTGAGACATGCCACTGGTGGTTTTGCTCATTGGACGAAAACTTTATCGTTTCAAATCTCGAAAGAAACAGTACACTTTTCACCATGTGAAACCACGTTAGTAGGTGAATCGAGTTCTCCAACAGCAACATGGATGATCAAAAATCCCTTTGAAAGTTCCAACGGTTTTCGGTATATCCGTATTCATCAGAAATCCGGTCGACATCCTGTCTGTATCGCTGGATTCGAAGTCTATGGGGAAGTACTTTCAGTTGTGGACATTCGTTCGAGTAAGTTTTCAGATGTGATAAGTTTATCATTCTTTTCGTTGTTCTATTCAAGAACCTGAATTACATCGTTCACGTTCTTGCCGCACTGATGACCGAAATCGTTCGACGAACACCCGACAAAATCCACCTTACAATCACTCCTATTCAACATCAGTTACAACAGCACGCATGAATAAAATGCAATCTCATATTCTCCGGCGTTTAGCCAGTATGAACACGTCGGAAAATTCGAACTCGACCAGCGAGAATCGACCAGCACAAGCAGCACTTGATCAGATGCTATTCGATCTTTCATCTATTCCTGCAGACATATCCACTGGTAACTAGTTCTCGCATATTATTCATAGAAACTGATTTATCATTTTGCAGCATTAGAATCCGATGATCCTGAGCGTTTACGACTAGTGATTGAAGAGACACTCTCGCGTTTAACAGAAGATACAGTACCGAATACTAGCAATAATAGTATATTAAACATAATTTCACAACGCAAAAGTGCATCGACACCGGATATTAGCAACGGTGCATCGACATTTTCAGTTTCAACAACTGAACAAGCATCCAGTGCTGACAATCTAGTATCATCGACTCGAGCAGCAGATCAAGTTGTTCATGTGAGTAGAAGAATCTTTTACTGTTAGCTTACCTTTGTGTATGTTTAGTTAATGCAAGGATTTTGTGATCAGATCGCGCGACAATATGATGCACTGGTTAGTCAACCACAAATTGAATCGACGTCATTTGAAGACTTTCTTGCACCTGTTCAAAATGATATGACAAATGAACCTGAATGGATGCGTTTCACTGAGCTTAAAGATGAGACAATTGTTATTTCAAAAGGTTAGTAGGTTTCTTATTGACTTCGAATAGTCCTCGAATTTGCCTTTCAGAAGAAACAAACGATAAAACAAATGAAAGCCGTGCAGCAATGCAATCAATAAGCAGTACACCGGAATCAGGTAATAAATGGATTGTATTTCTATCAAAATACAAGGAGTAGTTATCATTCAATCGATTGTTCTGTCTGTACTTGAGAGAGTTGGTGACACAAGGTTGTTGCTTTTCACTGTGCAAGGCTAACGATGAGTAAACATTGCCGAATAGGTCGACTATCAAGGACATAAAAAGAAGAATAGAATGACATCGGCGATCAATATACAACAATTCATTCTATTCTAGTTGAACTTTTATCTGCGACTAATGAAGAAAACAACAAGAAAAATACTACTAGTGAATCTTCTGAACAACAAATCATATCGTATGTGTCTTAATACTTTTCAATCATCGCTTTTCTATCAATAATCTTCTGTCTACCTGATTTACAGATTAGAAAACGATCTTAATGCTAATGTACCTAATGTTTCCAGTACGTCGTTGAATATCTTTACAGCGTCCGAAAGTTCGCTTGATTTGAATGTTGCGACACCATCAACGGCGAATGTGGCCAACATTCCCATTATTGATGATGAAACCAATCCAACTGAAGAACTGACAAATACGTCTGATCCACAACAAAAACAGACGGACGAAACAACAACTGACGATGAAGATTACGAATATACATTACTGAAACGATTGAAATCAACAACGGAGCAAATCGATGCGCCAGTTGAAGGTGATGATGATGAAGATGAAGAACAACAAGAGGAAGTAAGCAGAAACGAGAGAATCGAAGGAAAACTAGCCAAAACTTCGCTTGTAGGAAGAAGAATATAATGAAGAATTACAAGCACATCTTCATGGTCAACAACAGGAACTTACGCATCGTAATTGGGACGAAAATTTCGTATTAAAAAGACAATTTTCTGGTGAGAATTTTCACCAAGTTCTTTTTTAAATCTACTCGACTCTTTAGTTTTACTTCCGGCATTTGATGGTCGACCAGGTAGAACAAACATCAATGCGACACAGGATATCCCCGTGCCAACATCGGTGTCGCCCAAAGAAGGTAAATGATCGAAACATTGAAATCTCATTCCAACTCCTTGTTTAGCAACATCAACAAAACGCATATCAAACACGGATGCACTTGCTGCGGCAAACATGACTCTTTTTATTCGTGGACCATCGCCTCATGTCTCAGGAGTGCGTATTTTTACATTCGAATAGTCTAACGTACGAAACCGTCTATCTTAGTTGAAAGAAATCGAAATCGAAATGAGCGATATGGATGCCACTATCTTCAAATATGTTCAACAATTGATTGAACCCTTTCCGTCTTCACAACGATACGAACGCATCAAACGAATATTCGAACCAACATATACGTAAAAGTCACGTGCTTTACCTTTCGATGGACTAATCTGTGTTTTCATGTTTAGAATCGTTTATACAGAAAAATCATCGGCACAATCGAAATCTAACGTAAAATTTCTTTTCTTCTCGAATTCATTCCAAAAACTGCGATTCATTCTAGAGTTCGTTAATCAACAACTTCAATCTATCGGATTCTTCCAATGATGTTTGTACCATCGAAGATATTCTCAAACTTCTTCGCCAATTATACTATCTTTCCACAAACTATCTTCAAACACATCCTCATCATGACGAATCGATCTCCGTCGACGGCTATTTCAATTCAAAAAAGTTAAACAATAAACTATTACAGCAAATCCAAGATTCCATTCTCATTGCATCGTTGAGTTTACCGTCTTGGACATCATGGTTAACTCATTCGTATAAATTTCTTTATCCTTTTGAAACTCGACAACTATACTTCCGTACGACAAGCTTTGGAACATCACGTTCGATCGTCTGGTTGCAAGAACGACGGGAAGAATTGATTCGGACAGTTCGAAGTAGTTCACATTCACGTTCGCGTGTATTAAACGAGATTTCTCCACATGATTTTCGCTTTGGCCGTCTGAAAATCGATCGGGCTGTTGGTATCGACCGAGAAAATATTCTTCGCGATGCTGTGAATCTCTTCCATTACCATGCCAAGTCTAAATCAAAATTAGAAATACAATTCCTCAACGAAGAAGGCACTGGCGATGGTCCAACATTGGAATTCTACGCATTGATCGCCAATGAATTACAAAAATATCAACTAGGTCTCTGGTGGACACACGACGATCACGATTCACATCAAACGGATTATGTCCGGAAATTGGAAGGTCTCTTTCCAGCTCCGTATGCTCAGGACAATGCCAAACTGGATGAGATTTGCAATTACTTTTCCTTAATGGGAATCTACTTTGCCAAGTGTTTACTAGATAAATATCTGATTGATATGCCGCTGTCGATATCGTTTTTGAAATTATTGTGTACGAAATCGAAAATGGAAGACATTTGGTACGATGGTATTTTGGATATAAACGATTTGATATTGATCGAACCATCACGAGGAAAATTCTTTGAAAAATTGATTGAATTACTCGCTAAACGAAACCAGATCATAAATGATGAAAGTTTAACGATTGAACAAAGAAAAACTCAATGTCAATCATTGAAAATTGAAAATGAGACACACGAACCAATGGAAATCGAACATCTCTGGTTTGTCATTAGTCTTGCATTCTGACTTTCACATTTCATTCTTGAATTTACCTAGTTTAACATTTGTTTACTTGCCACCATCGAATACATATGGTTATCAATCAGTAGAATTAATTCCAAACGGAGCACATGTCGTAAGTGAATCTTCGATAGTTTTTTCTTTCATAATTTCCATTTTCAGGATGTCACCATCGATAATTTGGAACAATATGTCAATCAGTCATTACAATTCATTTTCCGGGATGGCATTCGTCGTCAAATGGACGCATTTCGAAGTATGTTCAATCATTGCTCATTTCTATTTCGACACTGAATTGAGATTTTTCAGATGGATTCAATCAAGTGTTTTCACTTGAACATTTACAATGTTTCAATCCACAAGAATTGCAACTAGTTCTCTGTGGTAATCAATGGCCATCATGGATATTAGATGATTTATTAACATATATCGAACCTAGTCACGGTTTCACAAGAGAAAGGTTTGTTTTGTTGTACATAATTAACAAATACAACGTGTATTCTCGTGTCGGTATTTAGTCCGGGCTTTACCAAGTTTCTCAATGTTATGTTAGCACTTGATGGTCTCGAACGCAAATCTGTAGTTCAGTTTATCACCGGTTGTTCGTCGTTACCACCTGGAGGTTTGGCTAATCTTCGTCCACGTTTGTCTGTTGCGCGTAAAGTTGAAGCTGACGATAATTCGTATCCATCAGTGAATACTTGCTATCATTATTTAAAACTACCTGACTATACAAGTGAAGAAATACTTAAACTTCGTCTGATGACAGCGTGCAAAGAACGAGGTTTCTATTTCAATTGAACGAGCTATTTCAGTTCTAGGGGTTTTTTTTCTAACAATTTTTCTTTTGTATGATCTGTTTTTTTTTTCATCTATACAAGAAAAATATGAAATTAATGGACATTTTCCAAATATATTTGTGTGTAAATAAATATAAAAGAACGGCAAAATCTTTTGCATAGTGACAAATTCATGTACCTAGGATGTTATCGGTATCTATTTGAGTAATGAACACGATCAATTTCACATTCGAAACGAAGTTTGTCACGGTCTGTAAAGCGAACGAGATACAAGGTGCGAGGAGAAAAGAGAAAAAGTCACAAAAAAGACTATCTGATATCGTGTAGCGATCATTTCGGTCATGGTCTGTTACGTTTGCATGTTGGTATCTGATAGAGCACAGTTCAAATTTCCCCTGTTCCTGTCGAAGGATAACACAATGCAAAACTCGTCCGCGTACGTACATTTCTGAGAAGAGATATTCCTCATACAGGCACTCTCTAGCGACATCTATATTTCGTGAATTTTATTTTTAATAGCAATATATAAAAATAAATTTTCTTTCATTATTTAAATTTGGAAAAGGAAGATTTCCGATCGAAAAGAAATTTTTTGAAAAATTGATTTTGTTATACAAAAGAAAGAGACTCTTCAAAATGAAGGCAAATATATTCATGGCTAAAAAAAAACTTCTCGCTGTTGTTGTTTGTTGTTAAATATCAATGACTTTTCTGCTGTTAATAGCCATTCATCCGAATATATCGTTCGGTGACACTTACTTATAGTGATTTATTTGAAATTTTCTAAATCGAAAGAAAAAGAAAAGAAAAGCAAAGAGACTAAATCTCAAGGTTATTTTTCTCCCTCTCTCTAAATTTCGCAATGATATTCCGATGATGGAAAACATACCCCTGATGTTGAACATATCATTGTCATGATTAACATCTGATGTAATGAGTCTGATGGAATTCATTGTTGGAACTTCTCTGAAGGAAAACTTTCTTCTTTCTTATCTCAATTCAGATTATTTTTATGGAAAATTAAAAGAAGACGGAAAAAAAAGGATGGTTCATTTTTCTCAATCACTCATGCCTGACGCACCGTTGGCAACATCACTACCAACTACGTTTACATTTCAACCAAATAATAATCAACTGGATGAACAATCGACGTTACAACAGCAGTCAATCGCATCGTCGTCTCAATCTCAATCAAATTCGCAACAGCAACGCTCATCGTCGAATGATGAAGTACAAAATAATCATCAGACACATCCAAACGATTATGAAACCCGACTACGGTGTCCGAATTGTGACACGTGGGTAGTTAATCTAAGTGATCATCTGCGTAAAACTCATCGGATCGCATCACCTGTTGATCGCAAACCATTGTTGCGTATGGCACGTTTAGAAAAACGTCGAATGACCGAGTCAGCCAATAATCCAACGGGTACAACACCAAACCGTCAAGCATCATCAAACGTTCTTGTCAATGGTCTAACGACATCACATACGAATACAAATAATGAAATTGAAAATCTTCTTTTCAAACAAGAGCACGATTCAAATCAGCAATTTGCCGTTACACTACCAGAAAATATCCTCCTTAACCATCAAATAACAAATCCTATTGCACATTTCTCTTCGCCAACATCAAACAAACGGGCACGTCCCGGAGAAGATCATACTGGACAAATCATGAACGGACCTCTATCACCTAATAAAAAATCTCGTATGGACCTAATGGATGGAGCGAAACCATCGCAAGGAGCACATGCTTCATCAGGCAAATCGAATAAGAAAAATCGAAACAAACAGCAGCAGCAGCAACAACAACAACAACAACAGCTTCAGTTACAGCCGCAAACAATTATTAAAACTGCAGCATCAGGGATATTTCCTCAACAGAATGTTCCTGTACAACATGTAGAAGAAAGCTCCGATGATGTAAGTTGAAATGCAAATGAAACGTTCGCCTTATTCTTTCGTATTTCTTCTAGCTTTCAAAAGTATTACAAATGATGGGCAATGAGATGAATTTTCTTAATCAACACTTACAAACGACTTCAATACTTTTACAAAAACAACTCGACTTAGCTCGTGATAGTTTACACGCATGTTCCGTACAATTTGCTCGTATGTTTTCTATTCCCCAAACTCAAATCTATTCTAAAAGATTTCTTTTCTTTAGATTTAAAACGAATGATTCAACAGCAAATTTGAAGAAATCGAGCCTTCTTTTTTTTTTCGAAATCTGTACTTTGCACATTATCTCTATACATATATACATATTAATTGAAAATTCTCTCTCTGTTGTTCCGCCTCTTTATTTTGATTACGATATGAAAAAGACAAAAATCAATACGCGCGTCTTTATATGTGTGGCTATCTTTGTTCATTTATTTAGTTTTTGTTTTATACTATCCCACTCTATATATATATATATATCTGTGTGTAGATAGATTGCAGATTATTTGAAAACAAACCGGAATTTTTGACATATATATATCACTCTGCGTGTATGTTCTACTTTTTCTTCTCTTGTGTGTTATTCTCGTTCTCGTTTGGTCTCTTCATTTTTTTTTCTCATTCTTCTTTTTCAGTATCGTTCGTTTTTTTTTCGATTGACATATTACGACCGTTTGTTTCACTTTTCTTTCTGGTTTAACTGTGTGTATTGCAGTCATTGGCTTTTTGATGTCTATAGAAATACATATATAGATATATGTATGTCTAAACATGAAATAAATTTGTTTAGTTCACAGACAATCAGTTGTTTTCTACTGCCAAGACGAGAGAACATACCAAAACGAACACACGATGAGATATGAGACTGTTTCAGATGGATATTGATGATGAAATTGAAATAGAGACAGATTTAACAAGATCACTGGCATCTTCGCTTTCAAAGAAACTTGACAGCAAGGTACCCAAACCAATACGAGTGATTCTGCCAACAACGTGTAAGTGGGTCTTATTCGATGATAAGCGTGGATTCATTTGACATACTCTGTTGTTTGTTCAGTTTTTCGAGCGGAGAAAAACACATGATTTTACTCTTTGTGTTCTGTAGTTCAATTCTTCATTCCGCAAGAAGATGTCGATCGGTTGTTGGAGATGCGTCGTGTCAGTTGTGAAAAGGAATACGAACGAAGAGTATCTCGATCAAATCTGTCTGCATTAGTTAATGCTGATGTTTACTTACCAAATGATAATTTTCATCCTGTTTCATCGTTTGATGGTACACCTATTCAACATCGTGATATGGAATGGTTAACAATAGTTCTGCCCTTCATTAGAGAGTATAATCCACATTGTGGAATATGTGCTTCGAGTAAAAACTACGGTCGACGTTTAGATACGGTTCGTGGTTATCTATTACGAGCATATTTCTACTGTCACGGACGTGATTGTCCGTTTAATTGTGTTATAACAGTTAAAGAAAATGGAAGAAGCTTATTGTGTTCACGTTTTGCTCAAGGAAATATTGTTGATCATCGAAATGCCAAACGCATCGCGTGTCCAAATCGTTCATCGAATCAAACTAAACTAAAAGCAAAGAGAACCCCTTCAAGAAACATTGTCCGACGTCATTGTAAATCAGCAGGTGCAGCTATTCGACAATGGAATGACACATGTACTGAGACCAATGTAACAAATGTAGTTTCAAATGAATTCAATTTGACCATGAGTGATCTCGAGGATCCATCGTTAATGTCACCAGCCAAGCGTTTTCTTTCCATGTGTTGTCAGCTGATGCAATTGACAGTTATGTTGCAACAAGATATTGATCCGACAAATCTGTTACCAGGTGCTCTGCAACACATTTCAATCAAACCATTTTACCTTGTTATTCATACCGAAAATTCAATACGTTATTATCATTCCGTTTTGACGAAGGAAGCACTCAGTACACCTGTGACAACGATGCAGCAAGACAGTGGTAGTAATGCCAACCGTCCTAGTAAGATTCTAGATTTAGAAAGAAAAGAACGCATTATATGTATCACTTTGTAGCATTTATCTTCAACAATGATATCGCTTGTGGCTCTGGTCATACGAATTCTTCTATAACTTCTGATTCATCACGGCATCCTATTGCATATGTAATAGCGAACAGTGTAGAGGTAATTCCGTGTTTTCAAATGTTCAGTTCATTTCCTTGACTCTTCGGTTAGCATGGAGAAAGAAAGTACTTCTATTTTGAATTGATGCTTAGTAATCTCGATGATACATCATTTATTCCGATCACCATCACTTATACTGAAGACACCAGCGATACAGTTGCACAAAATTATTCGATCAAATCATGGCTGGAGCGTTTTCGTTTCGATCATGAATATCTATACAAATCATCATTGCCTTCGTTATCGGGAACTTATTCTCTACCTCGACCGTTCGTCTTACTAGTCGATGATCATCAAGAAACACCGTTGAACAACACTCTTTTGCAATTCTTCAACAACGAAACATTCAAAGAAGTATGCTCTTGCACAGACAATTGCTTTATCTTTCAATTCTGTTTAGTATATCGCACGAACTTATCAAGCAATCTCGTCAAAAGACGATTACCCTACATTACAAGAACATTCGAATCGAATTGTGTTACGCGTTAGTCCAACAACGATTCTATTTCATTTTCGTATACTTGTGAATAAACATGTTTCGGTTGAACTCCGTCAACTAGCACTATGGTCGAGCTTTTTGTTGCTATACACATCGACATGGGATGAAATGAAACAAAATTGGTGGTTGATATGTGAAATATTTCTCAATTGGGGAACAAATTTCGTTTCGTTAAAAGCTTACGAAGATCTGTGTGCTAAAGTAGCACAAATGGAAAATGATACTGAAATCAAACATCTAATGGACGTGATTTATCACGATGCGAATGTCAATCAACAAGAAGAAAATGATGTTGATGATGATAATGATTCTCCTGAGACCATCATTGACTTATCTGACTTACAAAATGATCATTTTTACACGAAAAATGTAAGTTTACTACTGATAAAACTTGTTTAAATCGATTTCTCTTCAAGATAATCACCAATGAAAGCAATCGATATATGTCACCGTATGAAAATGACCTACGACGAATCTTCAATGAAAATAATAAGTCGAAGTCGACGCTCTTATCGATATGGGACACGTTGACAGTCTCTGATCGTAGTACACTGAAGAAAATCAAAGGTAACTGGAAGTGGTTGAGCCTTCTGCTGAAAGATTACACTCCAACGATACCACTTTGGTCGAATTTGATTCATTCGTTCACGCATAACCTTCGACATGTTCGTCTCAATGAACGCATTAGTCAATTAATGGTAAAGAAAGATAAACGTGCAACTGAAATCAAACGTATTCAATCGATCGAACATATTCACAAACGAATGGATCATGTGATCAACAATTTAGCAAAAGATTTACATACACAAGTAGCGAATGCTGATAAAAAACATCGGACAAAATAATTGCTTTCATCTGTACATTTTAATATAGTGATACGAATACCTTGGATGACAAAGCGTTGGAAAATTACGAGCGGAGGATGAAAAGGGTTATTTAGTCAATCTATTTCTAATGAATAATATATAAATGTGAATAACTAAGAAAAGATTTTCTTGATACAATCCAGCCTGTTTATATATATACAAACAAAAAGTCTAGTTTATGATGTTTCACGTGTTGGTACAGAAGCATACTTTGCTTTGACATAACGAAATAGAGCAAATGTAGCCAAAATTGCAAAAAGTGTAAAAATTAATTCAATGATTAACTTTGTTATGTCTTCAGCTAGAGCGTAAGTATCCGAACTGCTTTGAAACTCATTGGCTATTGTCGACGTTGCGAAATTTTCCCCTTCGGGTGAATTGGTCAAGACAGCTGAAGCTTGTGTTGAGGTTGTCACACGATTTGGCGCGGTTTTAACAATACGTATGATACCGAATACTAATGTCAGAACGAATACAAATATAAGTACGACTCCCGAAACTAATAATATTGCAGTATTATCGAACCTAAGTGGAAAAACTATTTTGAATACAAGCACTGAAAAATCATTCGACTTACCAGGTTGCGTAAGTAGCGAGAAAAATTGAGATGAGGATTAAACCTCCAATAACGATCATTGTAATTGCATACGGATTAGTAGGTCGCCGTATCGTTTCGACAATTCCATGAATAACATAACGGAATAGTGTGCTTGATAGAAGAAAACCATAGAAAACAGTAAGAAGAATTCGTATACCACGAATTTGTTGCTTTTTATTGAAAGCCATACAAAGCTCGTCGTCGATTTTTTTTATCTAAAAAGCACTGATTGCTTGCTATAGTACTTCGTCAATTGAATGAATAGTTGAGTCAACATATGTCTATATCCCGTGCTCTTATTTCGTTCTTCACTTTTTTTTCCTCTCTTTTTTTGCCTAGTCAAATTTTACTGCAAGCGGACTCTTCTATACGTACAGACATATGCACACGATGAATGTGTTAAAAGAAGCTCATCTTTACTCGCTGAATCATGATCCTGTGTACGCTTTTTTTTCTCCTTTCTGTTCGCACTGACGACCTATATATAGTACTGCTCGATGAGAAGAATAATAATTATTGGCTCTTACCGAACACGGAAGAAGAAACAACAGTCTTGTGCTCTTTGATGTTCTTTTTTTTTATACGTCAGAGCAAAAAAGGACATGCCTATTTTTTTCTTACATGGTTTGTACTAACAACGAGAGACCATTATATGCATATACATTTTGACTATTTGTTGCAAATATTATTCGTTGGTTTGAAGTGCGAAGAAATTTTTGATTAAAAATTTAACAAGGTGTAAATTCAATTTTTACCTCATCATCTTGAAGTATGTTGTTCATCAAAGTATGTTCAAGATCATGCATTTAAAACTTTCGAACAGTTTCAACGAGGAATATTTTTTTTGCTTAATTTACACTATGGTTAGTCGACAAATGTATACTTTCAATTATTCTAAGCACATCTGTTTCAATTATTGCTAAAGATTAGTAGAAATATTCAACATAAGCATGTATACAAAGTTAATCGAATGAAAATTAACTTGAATCGATCCTGCCGTTAGATTGAAATATCGGTAGTGTTCCTAGCTGTTCTTCATTGGAATCACCAATAAAGGTTTGTTGCAGCGAATTCGTGTGGAATGAGAATAAGTTTTTACGATGACTTTGTACTTTCAATTCAGGTGATGAAGATACATGAGGATCGTTGGAAGTCTTCGTTGCTAATTTCTCATCAACCAGTGTTTTAATATTTAGTAACAATTCGTCGAATTCATTCGTATTGCTACTAGTTGATGGTTCAGTAGTCGAGGATTGACGTGCTGATGCATAGGTAGTCAAAAGGGTAGAAATATTGCTTATAAATGCATCGTCTTGTTTGGTGCTCATTCGAGTGCTCGAAGTCGATTTAGATTTACTAGTTTCCGTGGAACTACTAAGGTGAAATGGTGGAGATGGTATAGGTGAAGGTGGGGATGTATTTGTGCGAATACAGGTATCATTGCCTAGGTCGGGTAGGCTATTTGTCTATGGAATATAAAAATAAAGTTTAGAGGATTTGTTTATTTAACAACTAACCGTATTTTGTCTAGGTAAAAGAGATTTTTTTCTATATGAATTACTAGTTGAACCTAGTCTCGAACGTGGATCAGGTGTAAGAAATTGAGATGATTGATAGCTCAGTGATCGGCGGGGTGTGAATCTGACCATGGCTACATCTTGAGCATGCTGCGGACAACACACCGAACCCATGTATTCCTCCGAGTGATCATCGTTCATATTGTGGGAATTAGATGCGTTAGATAATGATGATTGGTTTGCATCCATGGTTGTCGTAGTCTCCGTTTGATGTAGATTTGGCGATGGTGAAATTAGCTGAAGCAGAGCATTTATTTTCATGAATCTCGATGCAACGAATGATTTTTCCTTTTCCGAATTAATCATCGAACGAAATTCATTCACTTGTTCAATGAAACTTTCGTTTCTTAACGCCGAATCAGCACGGTCTAAATGTCCAGCTAGAACAAGGTCATAGATACCTTGCGAATACAATTCATATTGATTATATGGAGTTAAAATTGATGCTAATTGAAGTTTATCGATCATAGACTTGATTAAAATCAACTTTCGTACAGCACGTCGGAAACGTCGAAGAACTGCTTCATGCCTTCGTTTCTGTGACTGACTCGTATTATCGCCCGATGTTCTTACACTTGAACTTGTCAACAAGGCAGTGGAGATATTCTTAAATTGAAATGCACCGAAGATCGCTGGACCGAGCGACAGATGATAGGGGCCCAGAAAGACATGATAAGTATCGTCACGGATATCAATTACTGTCGAAACCGAATAGATTTGTGATAATCGTTCGATCATCCGATTTAGATTATTGAACTTGAATGATTCTAATGAAAGAAACAAACGGAGAACGAAATTATGCCATTGATACGTAAATTCAATGTACCTAATTCAATGATCGCTTTCAGATCAGGAAACAAATTGGTTAATTTTTCCAGTTTACACACATCTGCTTCGGCGCCATTGATGAAAAATCGATAGGGTATAAGTCGATAAATACCTTTTTCAGATGAAGACATTCTAAAATATTAAAGATGAAACCTTTAAATTCTACTTCACTGAGAAGAAAGAAAAATTCAAACGTATAAAATACCTGAAGAGCTACGCGTATGAAAAATCGATTCGTTGATGTATGAAATATTGAGGTAATCTTATCGATAATAAACAAGTATTATATGCACATGTTTGTAAAGAAACACATAGGAAGGGTTATAAACGTATTGATGATGTTACCTCCATTCATACGTTTCGTATTTTCTTCACGTATGCCATTTTGTTTATGAATCATGTATGTATGTATGTATTGTTTGAGTCAGTAGGTGATTCTTGATCTACTGAGATTTATTGATGATCACTACAGAGCTGTTGCTGTGTTTATCAAAGTCAATTAAAATGAAGTGTTCGTCGAAGCGAACAGATTCTGATTTTGGAAATCTGATATGTACGAAGGCGAATGATCATGAATCTACGATACTGGGCCTCTCTTTGTTATCGTTATCTGTCTTATCTATTTGTGTACAGCACGGTAAATGATGCAAAGCACAAAAACATAGATCAAGAGAATAAAAAACAACATGATGTTCCGATGCGTAAAGAATGTGTCGTTTCAGATAGGAAATAGTCTCGCATTCTTGTTAGTAATATGTTAAATATGATAATGAATTTCTTAATATTGAAGTTTCCTGCGACAACAGATGTTATCCGGCAATGTACGGAATTTTCGATGAGCAGTAATATTTACGAACAGAACTTTCGTTTGTCGAATAGTATTGATCGCACACAAAGCGATGAAATTCTTTACACACTTTTCGCATCTGTTATTTCATTGCCGTGAAAAGGTTCTTGAAAGTTTCGGCATAGAAGACGGTTGTATCTTCAAGTTTGTCATGCGACGAAATGAAGACAATCTCCTATAAGATGTGAACTCGATGCTAATGTTTCTTTTGTTTCTAGACAATCTTATATTTTGTTTAATTTTCATTTTTTTTTCTCATCAATCCAGTGAAATAGAGTGACGAAGTGTATAATGTCTACTGTTTGCATAAAGATTCATTTTTCGTTCGTTTTCTTCTTTAACTTAAAATCAATATTGACAGAAAACGAAAAATAAATAGTCGAAGTACATGATGAGAGATATTCTTTCAATATAGTGTAATTTTGCAAATGCTATATTTACAAAATGAAAATAAGCAGCGAGAACGAAAGGATTTTGTCCTGTTCTTTTTCTCTTCTTTTGTCACACTAGAAACTATACAATCTCAGGCAGCATAGAAGATTGCTATGAGAACAATTTTGGTGTCTTACTTCGCATTTCGAATAGATAAGACTCTACACGCGTTATTTATTCAGTGATAAAAGTTACCCAAAGCTGCAGAAAAGTAACGCTTTTTTTCAAATGAATGAGATTTTCTCGTCAAATGCAATTCCATTACCTTTGTATCAACACTCGTGTTTGTTTCAGAAAAAATGTTGCACTTACAGGCGAATCGTCCTGTAGAATCTGATGTTTTATCAACGCAGAATGTACGAGAGCAAGATCAAATGCAATCACAAGTATATTCTTTGTTAACAGATGCAAACAGCTCTCCTATGAGGAAAAAAGCGTCTCGCAAGAAAACAACCAGGTTGAACACAATGGCTCCCGTGATAGTCAATCCAGAGATAGCTAGAGAATCTCCGAGCAAAACGTCAACAACACCTCATCATGATCACTCTTCGACAAGAGTACCCCAATATCTACCACCTTTTCTATCAATGCATCCTGTCGATGATACTCAATTGTTATTCAGGTTGTATCTAGATAATACATGTGACGCAAGTAACAAAACTGCTTTGAGTCATAAGCCAGTACATTTACCCTCAAAATCTTCGAATCATTCATCATTTCATCAAAATCTACAGAACTTCCTGCCAACGAACGAATCTTCTCCCATCCACAACGCCAACACAGTGCCACTGACAATGGCGCAGTCAGAGTATCACGGACTGGATCCATATTTGACGAGACATATCTACCCACCACTACTCTACGTGAATCGAAACTCGCCGTCTGTTAACCGTCAATACTCTCGTCCCATGTCACTCCCGTCAATACCAACGCCCACAGTTTCAAAACCGAAACGGAGTGAGTAGCATAGCTAAATTTCAAAGATTGGTAATCCGTACGAATTCATTATTACATTTAGCGTACTCAAAAAAAGTGTGTTCAGTGTTTTCTGAGCAACAGCCACCAGAACAATCTGCCCCATGCCCACCAGCTCCGAGTCAACCAGTGTATTCGAATGGTTTGCCATCTATTATACCTTCAACAGTCATGGTACCATCTTTTCAGTCGGATGGCCATTGCCCATCCAAAGGTGTGACAGGAACAGAAGATTTCTTTCCACTAACACCATCTTCTTCGATAAACTCGTCCACAAAATCATCGCCAACAATTGGTAATTCCGACTTCTCTCTTCTATCAATTCGACAACCATCATCCTCGGCACAGATGGATATTACGGAATCAAATTTACGATTACAGCAATACTTTGCATCTCAAAGGTGCCCATCTACTCCAAGTCCAAATATCAATTCCTTCACAGGACAGAAAACTTCTCTCGTACATGAACTACCGTCGGGTATCCATACAGAGCATGCGAAAAGTCAATCGACGGTACTGGGATCTTCGAACATGTTCGATCCGATCTCTTCAATATCTACATCAGTTATTTCCAAAAAAGGAAGAAAGAAGCGGGTGAAAGTGGCCCATACCTTGAATAAGCAACGGGAAAATGAGAAACGAAAACATAGAAAATCATCTATGAAAGAGATTCGGGCAAAAAGGGAACTTCGGCGTATTACGAATCGTAATCGATTGGCTATTTTGAAATTCATGATGCGAAAGAGAAAGCAAGGAAAACAAGGACGAAAACCAATACCAGAATGTTTGGATACAAATATGCAATCTATATCAACAGAGTCATCGCCAGTTTTTACAGAGAAACAATCAAATTTGCCAGAGATCATTGCACCGTGTTTGAAAATCTCTATTGATTCCAGTCAAAATATCGAATCAATTTCTCTGTTTTATCATCGGCGACGTCGACCAGAGATTGTCAAAGAAAATACTCCTACCGCTTCAACTAGCATTGACAACAGACTTGGCTTGTTGCTCGAAGCAGTAGAATTTATCGAAACGCTCCAGGAAAACTCAAAATCTGCCACAGTTTCAATCAAATGAAACCGATGAATAGTAGTAAGATTCGTTGTTAAGAAACTTGTTGAAATCTACGTAAAGAAAAGTTCATTTCCGATGCACATGTGTTTGGTTGAATCACCTCTTTGAAGTATTATTATAGACTAGTAACTAAATTTAACATATCCAAACGATAAATTGTCATTCATTAGATTTCTAACGCATCAGTGAACATTTCTGCGCTAAATGTGCGTACAATATGAACACACTTTCTTGGTAATGTCAGTTAATCAATAAATTGCGAGTCGGAAATGTGACCGTAAGTATGAGTATTTAACTACACAATACGCAATTAGATTTGAAACAATTATTGAATGCGATCAAGCGGAAATGTAGATTTTACTTCGATGAAGCGATTAACTATGACATGTAACTTGTTTTCGTGTCGAATAATCATTTTAATTCGTCATAAATGAAACTGCGAACTTTACTCTGACGCTGTCATGAAGATTACATCACGCGACAAACAACGATCTTAATTGTCAGCACACGATGAATCAAAGTCAGTTTTCCCCAAAGTCATTAATCCAACAAAATCTTTTATGATAATCGTGAGGATTTACAACATAAAGATTATAATTTCAAATCACGACCTTCTAATCCCATAAAGACGTATATAACTATTCTCACAAGGCAAATAAATACGTTCTTCGTCGAACATAGACATTCTTTTCACTACTTCCGCCCACCAGTTATTTCATTAATCATTTCGAAAGGCAACTTATCAACATAATTAAAAACTCAACAGATCGTAACACAATGACATATTACTAATAAATTCTCCTCATACATAATCGATCGAGACAAAAGTTTCAAACAATCATATATATATATATAATTATACGTAGTTCCCATCTAACACTTCATATCTCATTACGCCTACAAAAGTCTGAACAGTATGTCAATAGATTTTTGACATTTCCGAATAGCGTAGAAACAATCTTATTGAAACAAAACATGACATGTCAATATTTAATCCAGTTGTGTTTAAAAGCTCAAGAACTGACTTAAAAATATTTAATTCTCAACTCAAAATGCTGTATTGTTGACTTTCAACATAGACTTTTCCTTTCTTCACTATACAATAGCAGATGTCTTCGAAAACATACTACAAAAGGTAATTGCTTTCTTAGTAGACTGGAAAGATCATGAATACTATGTAAATTAACACATATATCTTTCCTAACACCACTCATAGAGTCACAGTCTCAGAATAGAAGGAAAAAGATTGATATATTTTCAACGATGATATTTAACACAGATGGGTAGCTGCAAAGTCAGACATTTTAGAATATCGTCATCATGAAGAATGCACGATGATGAAACATGAGTTTTTACTTTCAATGAAATTATTGACTCATTGAATTATTTTGTAAAAAAAAAAGTCAGTTTACTGCTTAGCATATGTATTTGTTATTCACATGCAAATAATATTTGCTTCTCAATATCAATGACGCATACAAGTACGATAATATCTACGTTTACGTCATTCCGTAGACGATTAATGATATAATCTCATTCTGGATGCAAGCAAGAGATCAGTCTAACCCAATACATGCGTCAGTTAATATTAATATAACTGATAAATGATTTAGTTTGTTGTTGGAGGAAAACAAAATATTTGTACAATATAAACATGTCAGTCTTGATCTTTGTTATTCTATTATACAGATTATTTTCAATGTATGCTAATTGAATTTGAGTTGGATGAACATAAATTGTTCCTCAGTATACATCAATGTTTTTTTCACTACCAGTGAGCGGAAAACTACTAGACCGGAAAGAATTTGAGAAAAAACATTAATTTTATATCTAAGCTGAACTTGCTGAACCGTAAACTATGGACTAATATTGTTGTGAGGAAAGATTCTCAATTGTTCTTTTCTTATTTGTCGTAATGTATAAAAGATATGTCAGAGACAATATGCACCGACGCTGTTCAACACGAAAGCAGACGACTTAGCTTATCTGGCCATAATGATTATGGCTGAAAGTCTAACCAGCATAAAGAAAAAAATTTATTAGTTTGAAATTTCCCATGCAAATTAATGAGCTTGAAACTAATCATTGAAAGCTAAGTTCGCCTTTTGACGTCATTGACGATAATCTTACATCTGTCGTAGTAATTATCAAAAAGGAATCTCTTTAAGAATATGTGGCATCAGAAATTGAATGAGACTTTTCATTTCGTGACGAGCAGTTGCCCTCTACGATGATGATAGCTGCCAAGAGTTGAAATATTTAATTGTCTAATTGAGAAAACGGGTTGCACAAAATACTGTTCTACTAAAACAACCCCCCTTTTCATCATACACTCAGACGATCGAATTCTATCATCATCGTCATCATAATGACGAAACCATATACATTTTATCGATCTGACGTCAATTGTAGCTGTTTGACTGTTGTCATTGAGATATTTGTTAGTCAACGCCAACGTTACAGAAAAGTACGTTTCGAGCCTACGCTCGATGAAAAAACACGAACATGATTTTTCTATCAAAGAGTTGTTTGATATGTACTTGTAGTCAATCTCAATCGAGTGCGTACAAACGTCAATTTATTTTTTCGCGTTAAAATAACATCTTTCAAATATTTTCTATCGGAAGAAATTAGCCGATTGCTATTTGACTAGGAATGTCGACACCAGTATGCTCAACATGTGATCACCTACACGGAAAATAAAGTATAACAGTGTGATTTTGTCTTCACATAAGAATCCACTAGGTGGAAAGAAAAAGAACAGATCGACGATCTAATTATGATATTTTAACTGTTATGGGACGAATTCAAAATCACGTATTCTGTCAGTGACTGTTGCTCATAAAGTTGTCCATTATTCCAAGATTTGACTATTTTTTTTTTGCTCTACACACCGTTTACAAGCCTCCCGTATGTTCTATTCTTCTTTCTATTTCAGTAGTCTTATTCTGTTGTTGTCGTCTTCTTTCTTTCTCGCTCTCGCTCTCTCTCTCTCTCTCTCTCTCTCTCTATTCCTTTCTCTCTCTCTCTTCTTCCGGTCTCCACTCTCTTTTTCTCGTCGCGTATTTTAACACTAGCTTTTGTCATAGAGTTTGGTTATTCCTTCGAGCTCCACCTAAGAACCAGTTCACCATTGACCGTAATCATGTCGTTCACGATCAATACGACCACCTTACTATGTTTGATTCTCTCTTCTCAATTGATTCTTATTACACAAGGTATGCTGATGAGACTGACTGGTCAGCAACACGATGACCAGTCAAGATGATGAGTGTAGTATGACATCAAACTCTGTTCTTCTAATTTAGCTGGTAATTGTTTCTTTAACCGTGAGATGGATGTATGTTATGATGTAAGCGAAATCGATGTAACTGAAGAGCAATGCACCGGACCGTACTATTCGGAGGACATCCTTACTGAACTTGATGGTTATGTCTATTCGGAAAACTGCCGCGATGCAAATGGTATACAAGATTTAGTCGAAGACTCGACAGGGAACGTTTTCAAACTAACTTCGATATTTATCTTTTTGTAGCCTCGACGAAACGATGTGATATTGATTGTGGTATTGGCCGGGAATGCCAATGGATCGATAGAGAAGCAACGTGCGTCTGCAGTGAGGCAGCATGCACATCATCGAATACACTTGATCAGCAACCTGTATGTGCATCGAATAACCAAACGTTCAGGTCAGAATGTCATATGCATGCGTGGGCGTGCGCAAATCATCGGTCAGCATTGTATAAGAAATACGACGGTGAATGTCAAAGTACGTCTAAATTCAGAGTGTCATAGATACAAGCTGCTTGCTGTGTTTTCCTTTGATAGAGGATTGTCGAAATGTTCGATGTCCCCACGATACTGTTTGTTTACTGGTAAAAAACACCGGTGAACCTATGTGTTATCCAAAAAAGCATTGCAATCCAGCATTGGATCCTGAACCAGTTTGTGGAACAAATGGAGTGACCTATCCGAATATATGTGCAATGCGTCTATCTCGAGATCGACGAGGCTATACACCTGATCTGGCTCACAAAGGTCCTTGCGGTAAGCTAACAATTTGCTTGTAAACCACAATTTCTACTTGATTAACACTATGATAGTGCGAGAATGTCATCAAAATTTGTGCGCGCCATCTGAAAAGTGTATTTACTCCAAACATCTACAGCCTACTTGTATTCTCTGTCAATATCCTCCACAGTTTTTTACTCGTAGTGGAGAATGTAGTGAAAACATTCCTGTCTGTGGCAGTAATGGAAATCTATACAAAAATTACTGTTCATTATTAGTTGATCAATGCATCAAGAGTCAATATATAAAAATAATCGATTATCAAACGTGTCCCGTAATACGATATCGAGATACTCGACTGAAACAACAATCAGCATCATTGAATTAACGAATATGAGCGATGGATTTTCTCGAAGAAAATAGATTGGACGTTCAAGTTTGTTAAAAGCAATCGAGATGTTTCTCGTAAAAGTTTGTACCACCTTCCCGGTGAATGTTTTCTTTCCTTATCTCTTAACGTTTCTGTGTATTGACGAAAATCGTTTGACAGTGTTTATATTATTTCAATCTTCTCCTCTTTGTTTCACTGTGATTGTTAATCCAATAAACAAACCACCTTTGTTCGTTGTATGCTATTCTGTACCTCTCTACATCCAAACGAATCTTTTTTGAGTCATGAAGAGTGCCAACAAACTTTCGATCTATTTTTTGCAGTTTATAATCCTTTATGGATAAATTAAAATGTATGACGATATCCGTAAGCAGGAAATAAAGTTCTTTATCTCATCAACAAATATAAAGGGAAGACAGTAATCACATGAGATTGCGGACGTGTGCCATAATTTGACTAGAGAACAGAATTCATATGATACATACTGATGTTTTCTATAAACTTTGATTCTCTCCAAGCAGATCTATTTTTACTTTTGTATTCGGCATGCTGAGGAGACTTTAATGTGATTTCCGACGTCATGTGGGCTGTTTGAAATCATGAAATGCAAATTATTATCTTATGAATGTATTAGATGAGGATGTACTGTCCCTATTCTTTCATTTCCTGTCTTATTCATGTATGACAGACAACGTAGGAGACAGATATTTTATTGTTCATCGATAAGTGTCATAAAAGATGTACGTTACGTAAAAATTATCTTTTATTGAGAATTCATCTGACAGAGAAATTTCAAGCAAGGAAAGAAAAACAAAACGAAATGCAAACATATCAATGTAAGAAATATCAGACAAAGAAAATAATTGGCGAATTATTTCACGTAGGTTTGTGATTGACAAGCGAAGAAAATGATTCACGAAGATGTCGCTTAACTTTCCGACCGAATGTCTAAACATCTCAATAAGAATCTGTTTCGTTTCCGCTTGTTTTCCTACCTTTTTCTCATAAGTTTTTTTGTTCACTGACAATGTTGCTGTTGCAGGCACGAGTAACGTCATGAGCTTTTTCATTTGCTGTTGTTGCGTAGTCAGCTTCTCTTCGTTGATTTCTTTTTCTGCTAAGGTTTCACTCAGTAAACGAATATGTTCGTGTAATGCATCCATCTTGATCATGCAATCCACATTTCGATTGTATTCACTTTGATATTTCGTCATTAGTGACGTGTATTCTTCGTTGAGACGTTCGAAGGAAAGATGTTTTTCATCTAACAACTGCCGTAGAACGTCATGCTCCTAGAAGAGAAACATTTATCTTTGATACACAAAGTTGCTCGTTCACAAACGTTGGTTGCAATCGATAGAAGTTGTTTATCTTTCACAAGCAATTGATCTTGAAGTTTCTTTTCCTGAGTATCGAATGTTATCTTTGCTGTGAGCTGAGCAGATTTACATTGAACTAGTTCATCATCGAGTTTTTTTCTAAATGAAACATTGAATAACAGTTAATTTAGTCACGTCGAATAGTACGTACGTTCGATGTTCTTCTTCAGCAAGACGCGTTTTCAATAGAGCAATTTCGTTGTTTAATTTATCGATAATATCATCGTAAACATTGCTTGTTGTATCATTTATGTCTTCGGTGGATTGTTTCGATATGGATGATGCATTTGATTCCTGTCGTTGAACGGGATGCGAGGATTTCAGGGTTGTTGATACACCCGTCGATAAAGGTGTACGAAGAAGCAATTCGATATTTTTCGCTAATTTCAAACAAACATTATTCAAACGTGATAAAAGAACAAATGGAATATGCTCGTCGAAGTGTTCTTCAATCAGTTCTTCTTGATCATACTCGAGTTGTTTGTTTTCTTTATCTTCTTGCATAAAAATAACATGAATCGATCGATTCATGCAAGTCAAACCGTCAAGCGTTGATCGAACATATTGTAATGTCATATCGTACTGATTATTTGTCTGTTCCAATCTCGATTTTAACGCTAGAAAAGTAATCGCATCGATCGAAACATGTTTTTTTTCTCTAAACAAAGATATGCTCACCTTCGAATTTTTCATTATCACTAATAGATTTCTCCATCCACCAACTGATTTGCTCTTCTTTACGTTCGAGACTAGCGCGTAGTCGTCGAATATCATATTTGAGCAGATGATCATTAGATATCGAAGGCGATTGTCGATTAACATTAGGAGAATACAAATGTGTCTTATTCAAAGGTGTTTCAGGTGCGTTTAACGACATTGTTGATGATGCTGGTTTAATTATGTTCGAAGGCCGTTGTCCACCTTGGAATGTATTCGTACGACGAGCTGGGGTGATTAAATGGGAATAGGTAGGTAAAGGAGGACGACTGGATGCCATGAGAAAATATTCTAGAAAATTTCAATGTAAAGTTAACATACACATGTAAAAGAAATGGTTGTGTAAAATTAAAAATTTGAAGAAAAAAAAATTTAGTAAGAACGAAATTCCATAGAGAAAAGGAAGTGTTAACAGTATAGGATAGATCAGTCGAATGAGATCAATATTTGTTCAGTTGGTATAGATGCTGGTGTAGTTGGATGCTGTGCTAGATATTGTTGAGAATAGACAGTTGGTTGTGATGATAAAACTGTTGTTGGTACCACTGTTGGAAGATTCGTCGACAGTTCTATGAAATCAATACTTGTAATGGACGTTTTGTTAAGATCAATAGGCAAATACGTACGTCCCATGGAGAATTGTGGAACAGATGGAGGGTAGTAACCAGCAGATGGCAATGATGGAAAAGACATCTATGAGAGACAAATCATAGAACACATTTTGACATAATCTGGATATGAAAAGTGTTGAAATTACTTGATTCTGTTGTTCACGTTGTTGAGCAAAGCGTCTCTGTTGCTCTAATCTTGCTTGCATTTCAGCTTCTTGTTCCGCCAAGCGTTGTAGATGGAGTTGCCTTTGATATTCCAGGTACGCCTATGGATAGATTTCACTTACATTTGGTGAAAGGGAGAAAACAGAGATTTTTACATGCTTCTTTTGACGCATATCATCAAGTTTTGCAGCCAGTTGCATTTGCCGTTGTCGTTCACGTTCTAGATCTTGCCGTCTTTTATTCTCCAAATGTTCTTCACGTAGAGCATTTAATGCTTCACGTGCATCTTTCAATTGGCTTAATTTATCTTGTAAACTTTCATAATATGCTAATTGAACAAACGGAAATCACTTTTCGCATGACGTAAACGTATGAAACAAAGAACAAACCTTGTTTATCATCGAGCGATTTTACCAATCGTTGGAATTCCGGATACATATTTTGTAGGAGAAGAAAAACTGATTGCACAACAGTATCATTCGCTATATTTCTTCCACGTTGTTGATTACTAAGCATACGAAATTTAATATTGTTAATATGTTCATTGACAGTATTCACGAAAGCATCAATTTCATCATCACGAACATATTGCACCGATGGATCCTACAGAGATATATTGAAAATACGTTTTGGTATAGCAAAATATCTGATAAATTACTTTGTTCAATGGTTTGATGGTAATCAGATCTTGTCTAGTTTGTGTTTCCCAATAATTTTGCACTTGATCATCAGCGATCGGTGCCGAACCGGCTGGTGTCGGTGGATATTGAATAGTTGACGTTGCGTACTGTTGCGTTAATAATTTCTTTTGACGTTCTTTTTCGTCAGCTTCTTTCTGAGATAACGAGATGGCTATTCGAAGAGCTTGTTCTTCATCGAGTTCAGCTTGACTTTTCTCCTGAGTAGTCGTATTTACATATGTTTTCGGACGGATACTACCCGTGCTAAAATGAACACTCAGTCAGAAGGTTTTGATAGAAATATTCTCCTACGTTTTAATTCGATCGTAACAAGTGATACAAACGCGAACTTCATCCGAGATTCCATATTCCAATAGAGGACATTGTCTGGATGAACCTACAACGAATGGAAAATTTTCGATGGAAATCAAATGAAACTATTACGAACATGAGGCACAAAACGTTTCACCACAAGCACGACAATGATGTTTTCGTGTGAATGCTGTGAATGATGTATGGCAACGAAAACAATCGTCACGATCAGTCCTAAACAGTCAAAAATCAATTCGTAATTGAATACTTCAACGGATTTTTTCAAACCAGATTGGAGGTATCAATGTGATCACCATCTTGTTTTATTGTTTGAATGACGAGATTTAAATATAACTGATTGATGGTTCGCTGAAGTGAACCAAACACGCTAAACGAAGACAATTGGTTCACTCTTTATCTAAAATTTGGCCCAATCAGAGAGCGACTTTGTTTTCGAATACACATATCGAATACATGATGCGTCAACTCTATGTACAGCTGTATTGAAAATGTAATAGCAATATATTTATTCGTAATGGTAGTACTTCTTTAAAATTTCTTCTTGATAAACGCTAATCTATGCTACTAGCTAAGGTAATTTATCGTTGACAGCAAAGACGCCATTGTATTTTATTAAATTGAACACGAACTATACTAATTTGACTGAGGTGTATCATCAAATAATCGTAGTCGATTCAATAGCTAAGGAATCGTTTGTCCAGATGATTACGCGCTTAGCTTTTCATATGAAATTTTACGCACAACATCGCAAATGTTGAAATACACATACGTATATATAACGTCATCTCACAGAAGAAATTCCATGAAATGCCATAGAAAATGTACAGAAAGTTTCGAAACGCTTGGAAAACTACACAAGAGTTAGTCATATGAGCGCATTATCGTAGTGTTAAATCAGGTATAATATACCAATAATACTGGAGAAAACATGGGAAACCATTGACTTGCTGATTTCTTGTACAGATATAACCACCAACATTATCATATATTTATACATGATACTCTTCAAGCTAACCGGTTAATACTATTCGACGTTTTTTTTCTCAACTTTTGTGATTCATTCAGAAATTTATGATATAATTTGAAAAAATATTGTATTTGACATAGAACAGAAAATACCTGCGACAATATTTTTACTTTAATTGCATCGAGACTTGACAGACGATCTAATATTGTCTCATCAATAAGATTCTACTTGATTTTGTTCATCAAATGTTATGTCACGATCAATAATACCTAAATTGATAAAGATCGAAAACTTCTAAAAACCAAACAAAACCTCATCTGTTCTAACATATTTCTCTTATTATTATTTGACATCTCATGTTCTTCGTAACATTTATATACTACTAGTATGGTCGATTCTATATTTGCGTTCAACTACTGTTTTATCATTTTTCAATGTTTATTGTATTCATCTGTTTCTTTTTTTACATACTTGTGTCGTTTCATTGCTAATGCAATGTGTTACAAAATCGATTTATGCATAATTAGAGCTTTTTTTGAAAGTTTTATGTGAGATAATGAATATTAACTAGACATCAATATATTATAAAGCATAAACAAGTATTATTGTATAAGTATGGCTAAGAATAAGCGTCCTATTGTTCAGTTAAGAACTTATCTGTATGTTCATAGTACAAAAAAAGCACAAAAGGTCGTTTGTTCTTCTTCTATTTGAATGTAAAATCCATCGGAACATGAGCAAATGGTTCATACAATGAATACAAGTCATCAAATGAATCAACGATTTCTATCTGACAATTGCACAAATGATGAAAGAAGTTCAGATCATTAGTAACAGATGTTCGAAGTGGCTTTTCTCTTCATAATTCTAACCGACGTCATGCTTTCATCAATAAAAGTATTCGCTCAATTCTACTTGATCATTTTCAAGACTTTTCTGAGTATTATTCATATGACAAATATTTCCGTTCTGAAATTATTTGATTCGACCTCTCATTTCCTGCTTGGTACATTGTTGGAATTGACATACTTTTTTTTCACAGAAATGACGTCAATGTTCTGTAAATATACTCGAACGATTAATCCAGAAGTAAAATTTCCATTGTCGAAATCTTCGAAGACTCGATTCATTCATTCATTCACTCTCTCTTTGAAACAGCATTTCGATTGGAGAAATCCGTCTACCAATAAAAATTCATCAAGATAACATTATCTGAAAAAAATTCTTTTTTTCATTAAATAGATAATAAATCATGCCGACTCAACCTACGACATTTGTTTGTCGGTTTTGCTATGCGTCAAATCATGCGCTCTATCCGGTTCGCCTGTATTGTATTAGTTTAAACGAAGGTCTCATTATGTGTGCCAACCAAAATTGTAAAGGAGTTGTCGATGGTCATGTTGATTTGTTAAAATTAATCCTTCCGTTAACGTCATCATCATCTCAATTAACTTACGAACAATACCAACAAACGCCATATTACAGTTCGGAGTGTGATTTTCTTGTGACTGACCTTCCAGCTGAAATATGAATCTCTGTTTTTTTGTAAAATTATTTTAGATTAAAAAAGAAATAATAGAATGAGTTTGGATGATAATTGGGCTTCAGAAGCAGATAATCGATATGATAATTTTATAAAAGCTATTGACAGAGTTTTGAGACAATTCGAACGTTCGTCTGAATGGACCGATTTGATATCAATTTTAACTGCAGTTAAACAAGTAAGAGCTCGTCTCGCTATCATCCATGATTCGTATTCGCTCGAAATGAACTCGATTACATTTTGTTTTGAAAGACACTCCTAGGAAATTGCGCACAATGTGCATTTATACCCAAACGTCTAACTCTTACCAAGCGTCTTGCTCAATGTCTCCATCCAGCCTTGCCATCCGGTGTTCATATAAAAACTCTCGAAATCTATACGATTATCTTTGATATGATCGATAGAGTTCAGTTACAACGCGATATTCTCTTGTATTCGTATGGACTGTTTCCTTTGTTACCAGTTGCAGCATTAACTGTAAGACCAGTTCTGTTAACATTGTATGAGAAATACTTTTTGCCGCTTGATGAAGCATTGAATCCGATTTTAACAGGATTTCTAATTGGATTGCTTTCAGCGTTAGAAGAAAATGGAGATTTCTATGATCGTATTATCCGATTATTGGATAATTTAGCGAATCGTATCGATGAAATGTATTTTTATACATGCATATGGTCAGCTGTACATTCAGTGTCAACAGTTCGTTACTCTGCGATCAAATATATTTTTAAACATTTCAGCAAAAGACAAAGTCTCAAAGATCAAACCTATTTGATCGGCTTATCAATTGACACAATGGTAAAAACCGATATAAACGGAACAAATTTTCTGAAAGTTTTCTTTTCTCCTAGGTCTCTGCAGTTTGTATCTGCCTTTATGACAATGAACAACCGTTGGTTCAGCGTTCTATGCTCGATTTTCTCCTTATATGTTTACCATTGCATATAGATCTTTTGACCAAAGGTAATATGATCAAGATCATTACGATGACATTTCATATTCTATTAAAACGTGACGCAGCATTGAATCGAAGAATTTATAGTTGGTTTGTTGGTACGAATGAAGCACATGTAGATACGAATAGTCTATTGACTTCATCGAGCTATTTCAATATGTATACGCGAGAAATTTTAATAGAATCACTGAAATACTTATTGAATATGGTATCGAGCAAGTATTTAGTAGACAGTAACAAATCATCTGATGAAAATGATGAGAAGCTGGAAATATCGTCAATGTGGACTCTAACAAAAGTCATTCGAGTGCTTCTCGTGCTCGGTATGTACGATTCTAATACAAATGTGTAATCAATCATTGACAAATCTCTTTCGTTTCAGTGGAAAAGGACGATGTAGGACCGGAGATCATCGAGTTCATATTCATGCATTACCTGCGAACAATTTATCAACAAGCATACTGTCCGTCAAAGAGAAAGGAGAAAGAAAATGCTTATGTTGAAACTTTCAAAACATTCAGTACATTACTTGATACATTGGAACCGTATTTTATCTGTGAAGAACTAACGAAAAGTTTCGAGATGATTGTTAATCAACAAAAAGATGAAAGATGTCTCGACGGTGATACAACAGTCGAACAAATCTGCGGTATTACTGATATGTTACTGGAGATCTTCTCGGCTGAATCATTCGCCGATATTCAATCGGAATATTTGGTAGAAATGTTCGAACGTTTCATGACTGTTATAAATACGAACATGAAAATGTTAACAACTGATCAAATTGTAGCATGCGTTGGAATTCTACTGAAACTTCTTCGAATTCTGAATTCAGTGGCTCCTTCGAAAGAAACTCTTGACAGTGACATGGAAGAGGAAACAGAGCAATTGACTTACCATAATAATGAATATTCGACTGATATTTACGATAAGTTATTACGGACGGACAGTGTGGGCAACTTACAAAATCCTGAGTTGGAAGGCAAAGAAGAAAATTTGGATGATATCGAACAACTACTTCGTGAAATGATACGGAAAATCGAGAAGAAAATGTTGAAATCGAATAATTTTTCATCGATAAGAAAACAAATTCCTTCACTAGTTCACATAGACAATTCAATACGTTTATATAAAACTCTTTTTCATCAGTTCATCACCACATATATCATTTATCAAAACGAAATATCAATGATCGATCGATTTCAAACACTTTACTCCGTTATTCGAAACAAAACCAACGAGATATTCAAATTAGATCTAAATCCCGATGTTGACAACTATCAACTGGCGTTTGATCTTCATTGCAAATTACTGCTTGAATTCTGTTGTGTTCTTCCGAAACAAACGGTATCGATGGAAAATGCTTCGCTCACTCAATTCGAAGATTGGCTTATAGATTTAATCATTCTTGCATTCTGTCAAACCCCATTACAAGCCAAAGCAACATCGGTGTTAATCGAGATTTGCAGCCATAGTTTAAATAATCATCATCTTTGTTCGTTCGAACAAGTTTTATTTCTACTGAATGAAACGGAGGTTTTTCGGTACATCGTTGCATATCTCTGGGAATATTTGAGTGAAAAATGTTCGCGAGAATGCAAATATCGAGCATCGTGTAACTTATCGTCGCTTCATTCAATGTTACCCAACGATCTATGTGAAGATTATATTTTGAAAAATTTGGAAGAATCAACTTCAGAATGGGAAGTTCTGGAAAAATATAAACGATTTTTCCAATTATGGAATTCAACTCGCGATCGATTAAGTAGACCTTTTCAATCTTGTTTAGTTCATGTGTTAAGTAGGTTGAATGAATCGAAAGATTCGTGTTTAAAATCGTTGATTCAACAGTGGATTTACGATTGTTTTGTTCATGGTAACGGACTGATGAACTATTGAATAGTTTGACAAAGGATCTTTCATTTAGGTGATATATATCGTTTTTTCGATATATGCATGATGCAACTTCTCGATGTTGACACAACACGTCGGGAGATTCATCGTGTCGACTGGATTGTAATTGAGGCAGATTCAGGTAACAATTCGGATGAGATTCAGTTCGTTTTACCGGTGGATGCTGATGATAATGATGATAGTGACTATACAGAAACCGATGATGACAAACGAGTATTGTTGAAGTTTGATTGTTTTTGAAGATGAAAATCTTTTTCTTTCCAAAATCTAGATGCGCGCAATTAGTTGTATCAATCCCGGTGAACCGCTTTCACAAGTTCGCTCATCGCCTCAGTCGATAAAGTTTCCGTCATTTTCAAGTCTTTCTCCTTCCATTTTTTCCAATATCCTTTCACTATCAACAAAACCACGTACACCCACACTATCTCCCAGTGCATTGCTCAACAGCTCGTATCAAACACAATCCGTTCCGACAAGCAGCACCATTTCCGAAGACATTTCACAACTCATAAGTTCTCCCTATGATTACATTTTATTCTACAATGAGACTTACGATTTCGAACGCATCATCTCATCGTTGAACATCATCGAAAATCTACTTAATCTAATTTCTGATCAACTTGTTCAATATCTATTGAGAACATCAAGCATTCAATCAGCATCGATGAATATGCACAATAAACAAATGCATGAATTGTATCGAAAGCAGATGGATTTAATTGTTGGAAAAGACTTCGATCTATCAACAGAAGAACATCAATCATATTTGTATGTTCTACTCAATATTCTTCTCATGTTTACGTATAGCTATCAAGAAAAACGTCAAGATATTCAGGAGAATCATCGAGTGCAAGTGCGCTGTTTGATTCTTCTTGCGCGTGTATGTCATCATTTATCATCGATATGTATGGAAAATGGAGATTTATCAACTTATGTGGTTAGTTTAATGAAAAAGATTGCCTTTCAAAAAATTATTCTATGTTTATTCAATCGAATCATCAATCCAAGCAGCCATTTTTCACCGTTTAAAACAATCTACGATTTGAATAATCAAGTTTTACACGAACAATCAATCAAACAATATTTAAAACACTTAGTTCAATTATTAGAAGAATTAATTCTTCTAGAAAACATAATTTTTCATACAGATATCAATCTAATTCAACAATTCATTGTTAATCAAGAGCTTTTCATCTCCACTATTTTACAATATTTGAAACAAATACATTCCATCGAAAATCATCGATATATCATTAGTTTAGTCGTTAGAATACTACCTCACTGTGGTACAGCATTGAAATTGATCAGTACGCGAGTAATCGGGCAAATGTGTCAGAATTTATGTTTCGTTGCCCAATACCATAGTCAGCAGGATGCGAAAATCAAATTCGAGTAAGAATTTTCTACTCATGCTTAACATAGAATCTGTTCTTTGCGATTCACAATTGCTGTTTCCTTTTAGGAATTTAGTAACATTTGATACACTAGAGTATATCATTCATTTGATCGAACGTCTTTCATTTATTTGTAATTATTGTCTTGGTACGAGCACAAATCAGTTACAACATTTCACTCCAATATTGTGTCCTGAACATTGGACAAAACGAGTAAATGACGTCACTTTGATTTTCTTATTCACAATAGAATTTTAGTTATCGATCACTGCAATTGACTTTTCCGATGCTCGTCGATTGATTTTCAAAAAACTATCACTGATCCTTCCTGTCCTTGCATTTGTATGGAAAACTATTGGTGTTGGTCAAACAAATTCCATATGGGTTGAAACACGTCTCAAACAAATACATGAAGCAATCGTTGAATTAGTCTCTTCATTCACGAAAGCAAATGGAACTATATTTATGCGAACAGTTGCACAATATTGGGGCGAAGGCAAGCCGATCAAAGACATTACTATCGAAAAACAAACTTTGATTAGTATTCTTATAAATATCAATAATTTAACCATTAATGATATGATTTATTATATGAATGAACTTCTTTTGCAAAACTCATTTGTGGTCAATGAAAAAGTAAAATTGTAGATAAAGCGAACTTTGATTAATCGAAATTTTCTTCTTTAGAAAAAGCCGAATTATGTTGTTTGGTGCTTACAGTTTCTGTTAACTTATTTTGAGCAACAAAAAAATCTTTCGAATGATTATTGGCCACGGTTAGCAGCAATGCTGAAAGAGTGTCTGTCGTTCTCCATGTCATCATTAAGTGCATCCTTAATCATCAAGTACGAAGGGTGCTTACGAAACAATTGTCTTGTTCAGATTGACTTTTTAGAATATTGAGTTATTTCGTCAAACAATCGCCTGTCTTTGTAGAAAAACGTGACATCAGAGATTTTCAGGTACGTTAATCGATGATGAAAATTGTTTGTTTTTAGAAGTTTTAGTTGTCGAGTAGGACATAACGATGAAGGTTTTGGAGTATTGTAATACAACAGTGGCTTCGTCACTTAAGCAAACAGCTTGGTTGCGGAAAAATCGACAAGTACGTGTGACACAAAGCGAGCTAGACAACACGAAGCAAGCAATCAGCGAGTCATCCTACGAAACTGATAGTGAAAGTCCAGTTTTAGATATCGATGGTTTGTTACTTCTTTTATAAACACTCTCCTATACTTTCGTCTGTCTCATAGATACATCTCAATCGAAAAAGGCCAGTTTGAACGCATTGACTATCCTCGCTGAACATGCCGCAAAATTACTTGACGTCACCTACAATCTAACGGAGGATAAAGATCGTGTTGTATTACCTTATCTACAAAATCTGATACCCAATATCATGCCGTACATTCGTACACATGCCGTAGCAAATATGTTATCTAATAGAGCAGCATCAACTTTACTGATGAACATAGCACAATATCCTTATACAAGAAAAACATGGAAAAAAGACGTCGTCGAATACTTTTTCAATGCGGAATTTTTTCAAGTGGAAATATCTACGTTACGTTTATGGAAATGTATTATCGATAAGTTAATCGCTGAGGGCAAATCAACATTTCGCGAAGTGCTCAATCGTATTCATACAGTGCAAACCGGTTTACGTGTTTCAAAAGAACAAGAGTACGAACAACGTGCCATGCTTATCAAACGTTTTGCTTTTATCCTTTACGCATCGGAAAAGGATCAGTATCATCAATATTTACCGGAAATACTTACACGTATTGAAGATCTACAAAAACTATCACAAATGCCTATCTTACAAACACAGTTATTCCTTTTATTACGTGTTTTACTGATCCGTATATCCAGTAGATACTTAGTTTCATTCTGGCCAATTATTATATCGGAATTGATTCATATTCTATTAAAGATCGAACAAGATCTTACATCAGATGTTCAAGAAGGCGTTAGGTAAACCATGTTCCAAACATAACTAAGTCATGAAAACCTACCTGGTTCTTTACATATTCTAGATCATCGGCTTCACGATTACCAACGAGTGATTCAGCCTCATTGACTCTTTATTTATACGCATGTAAACTCCTCGATATTCTCTTGACAATTCCTCCATCAGAACTATATCACTTTCAATTGTAAGTAGAAAAACAAAACATTTGCGAATACCGAAAAATGAAATGGAATTCTTCTCCATAGATTTCGATCGGCATTCGTCGATGATTATAATTTGAATAATCAAGTGCTATCGTCTGATACATTCACAACTTTTTCCATTCGCATCTCGAAATTATTTGACGGAAAGTGTCAATCTTTGCCAATCAGCAATACACCTACTTGTCCGTATCTTCGTTTACAAACAATCACTACTATAAACGAATTGAGGCCATTTTTCCATTATTTATCCACCATTTACCTTCATGATACTTCGCATGGAAAAGCTGATCAGATTGAATTTAGTGTGCTCGAAGATTTTGTTGAACCGTGCAATCAACTGTAATTGTTTTCTAGTCGAATTATTTTTTTTTAATTATTTAACGTAATTTGCGAAATGATTTATAGAAGATATATTTTTTTGTCTCCTTTTATGAAATAAAAGGCCGTGCTGTTTTTCTCTACAAGACCTTGCGATTCTTCTTGTAAGATGATTGAAACTTCCTGGAGATGAAGAAACTCGATGTCAATCGATTATCATAGATCGTAGCAAGAAAATTAAACATCCGTCTTCTCTTCTAACAAGATTAATAGAAAAACTAGTAAGTATTTACCTGAAGAATCGATCTTTCGGAAAATTCATCAAGTTCATGTCAGATCAAATATTCACATTCTATATCAGAATGCTCACATGTGAGTAGCACGTGTTCATCAAATTATCTCGAAGCTAACATGTAAATGTGAGTACGACGCGTATCACATCAGTATTCTTTACACAAAACAATCGCAAGGTTATTCTGACACATGTAATCGACTCATTTTTGATCATTGCGACAAACCTACGGGAGAACGTAAACAGTGTGAAAATAAGATTGTTGATGTTGGTTTTGGACGAAACTTCCTCTAGTGTAAACAATAAAACCATCTGCTACGATGAAAATAGTTGTTTTTGTGAATATACTTCACATCCATTTATTTTGACATGTTTGACTAGGAAATCCTGTCAATAATCTATGACGTATTATCTTTCCAAAGAGTTTTAGTAGTACTTTTACATCATACTTATCCGAATGATAAAGCTCACTTTCAAATTCAATTAATTATTTAAAGATTTTCTTTATTCGGATTTCAAACATAAGATTTTAATTATCTTTTTTTTTATTCACATATATACATCAAAATGGGAATGTTGTTGTTGTTCGTCTCGTACAGTGTTTTTTCTTCTTACACATTTCCAATTGGTCCATTTGGTGAGACTGCAATCGAGGGATTATTAATCATTCCAGCATTAGTCAATTCCGTTGCACGACTTAAGCGTCTCATGACTAATTGAGTTAATGAAACACGTTGTTGCAAGTTATCATATAATGATTGCCGTCGATAATGATAATTTTGATATTTTTCGTGTGGTAACAAACATAGAAAGATCAATCCTTTCAATTCATCACGAAAAAACTTCGACGAACACGAGTAGAGAAAAAAGTTCGCCATGTAATTTATATTTCGTATCGTGAATGTGATCGTTCGCCAGATTAATTTCGTTTTTAACCATGTACAATTCCCTGTGCGATCAGGAATTTCGTAGTAAATCCACCAGCATTGAAATGGTAGTGTACAAAACAAATGTACTAAACAAACAAGCGTTAACATAACTGTTATTGATGATGTTAGTTCAACCATTCCACGTTGACATAGCCGATAAATAACTGTCGAATTCAACAGTAAAACGAGTCCGAATGGTAGAATATAGTTGATTATAACGGAAAACATGCCCATTGAATCGTAGAGACTATCATCGTAAACCGTACATTTTGAATAATCGATCGATGTTTGATTTTTTTCAGGTAGAAATCCATTGCTCACCGTTAAACGTGGCACTTCAATCATCTTAACAGCATAAATGAACCATGTGGATAGAAGAGTCGAGAGAAGGACAATGGTTAGGACGAGACGACGTGTTCGCGAATGGGTAAAAATGGTTTTGTTGTTGTGAGGTAACCAAACAGCACAAAAACGTTCGAATGCTATGCAAACCATTAACCAACTTGAACAGCATGTAAACGCTAAATCAAAAAAGCCTAAAAGTAACAAAGACAGATGGAATGGCAAGTTTTAAAATAGCAACGAACCATGTGTACGACACCAGAAGGGTGAAAGATCAGTAAAGTCCCGTCTTAAGAGTTTTTCCAGCCAGAGGATCGAAACAGGAATAAGAAGAACAAATGAATCCACAATAGCCAGAGCAATTGTTATTATTGAAACAGATTGTTTTTTAAGATCGGTTAGTATAAAGACACAAACAGTAAGAATATTTCCCAATAATCCAATACAGATAATAAATGGGGTTAAACCAAGATAAACTTTGTGTGTAAATGTATCATCAAGTAAATCACTCTCCGTTAGTGAACATGTTGTTGATATTGTGTAATTATTCGACATGATCGAATTGATATTCTCTATAAATAGACGAACAAAATCTCAATGTATCGCGAATAAACAAACGTCGAGAAAAAACAAAGTCATTAACAGTACCAAACAAAACTTTGCTTGACTGATTCGAATATAATGAGTATCATGAATAGAAAGTCTATTCCGACATAAAGATACGTTCGCATGCGTATGTTTCTATCCGTCGTATCGGAGAAATGGTCTTTGATAATCTACACTTTATCTAGTAATTACCTTCTTGTGAGTACTAGTCAATCGTATTAATTTCTGACAAGGAAATTTGCTGTCAATTCAATGACCTTCTGTTATCTATGAAGAAATGAATGAATAGAGTGTATCTATAAGAAGTAAGCGCGAAAGAAAAATTGATGGTATATTGTTATTGTTGTTTATAACAAATAAATAATACGGAAAAATGTATGTAATCAAAACATTGAATATAGAACCAACCATGGAACAAAGATACTCCTATAGAAAAATGTTCTGTAGTCTTTCTAGTTTTCTTGATTGAATTGTCTTCTTCTCGTTCTCTTTTCTTCTTCTTCTTCTTTCCTTCGTAGAGATGCATATGTGTTGTCTGTCCAGGAGATCAAATGTGAGTTTTGCCTAAAAATTTTTCTCTTACACGTAAAACGCAATACAGAGAAAAAAAAAGAGAGAAACACAAAATTAATTGTCAATCAGAGCCTCCTGTTGTTTAGCGTAGGTGTTGTCTGTATCTGATAAGTGATCGAAAGTAACTGAGGAAAGAATTGATGACAAATGATACATAAAATCTTGCTGTTTTGTCATATGGATTTCTAAATAAACACAATGTCGACCGCTAGATCAGATGAATATGACTGTTTTATCTTAAATCTTGATAGGAAACGAAGAAAAGAGGAAGAAAAAAAAACTCATTATGTCCATCGATATAGTAACGATCGATTATCACCGCGCATGTGTTATTAAATTAACTTTACGTAACCGAACGGATCGCATTAATTCGCGCCTTTTCAGTGCATTTTCCAGCATCTCAAATTATGATCCAATCTAATTAGAACTCAAACGCCAACGGGGATCGTCGTTACTGAATTAGCAAAACATGCCATGATCAATGAGTCTCCCGTTTATATTGATCTTTTTTTTTGGAAACCTGACTATATATAGACTGATAAATTTCTAATTCGATTAATGAAAACAAGATAAACAAAGCGGTTAGTCATGCAAATAGTTTCCTATCAAATCAAGCGATAGTATTCAATTGGAAAATCAAACAACGTTTGAATACGTCTATTGAAAAGACATTGTCGATTTTTCAAAAGAACCTTTTTGTTTCATAGCGAGAACATTCACGGATCAGATGTAGAAAATTTCTATGTGCAAGTGTAGGATGAAAGAGTATATGACATCGAGTAGGTGAGATTCATTACGGTTCTGAGATAAGACTGATGGCTACATTCTTTCGATTGCATAGAATGTTCGCAATCGAACCGTTGAACATTTACAAGTCAAATGCATACATTACCAACACACGGATGTGATAAATGAGAGTGAGAGGAGGCTTGTGCTTTCAGATCAAGTCTTTATTTGAATCAATCGAGTTGTGCGTCGCAAAAAAATAAGTCACTTAACAATGCATTTGAAAGGGAATTATCGACGGAGAAAGGCTTGTTTGTCGATTCGATAAATTATCATTTTTAGTTCTAACAAAAGATCATTTCCGTGAGCAAATGTTTACATAGAGTAAATCTATCATGAGCACCACACAACAGCCTTTTGAAAATGTCGAACAGTGTTAATATTTATTTGCGTTTTCAATGAAAAACACGATATAACATCAACGATCTACCTTTGTTTACTGGATAAGATCTGAGGGAGGACATTTTTTTCCTTTTTTCTAGCTATGCATAAGAAACAAAACGGCTAAATGTTTATTGATATGACATAAACAAATAAAGGCAAACTAAAACCTCGATAGAATGTAAATCTGTTTGTTAATCGTTTCCATGTCGAAGTGAGATGATTGAGTTATAGACTCTGCTGTTGACAGTTTTTCGATGTTTTTATTCGATTTAATTCGTAATAAATGGTACTCGAATTGTTGATCGACGAGCAACGTGGATAGTTGCTTGAACTTGTCTGGGCGCGCTGGTTAGATTTGTTCAGTTTCTGTTGAACGCAACAGTTGGTTTTTGTCCAGAAGAACAAATGTCGCTTGTAGAAATAACGAAACGTTGATGAAAGAAAATAAAGTGCAAACGGATTAATGCATGAATAAACGTATGTTAAGATCAAAGCGATTGTTTTATTTATTTGCCAGAAAAGATTCCACTTGAATGAGTAAACAAGCACGCCGATGAACCTAAGTGAAAAGAAAATGACAAGCAGAGTTATGCGTGCGGTTTTCCTTCTCGTTGAGAAGATTTCAACGTACCAATACAAATCGTGGAGTTGTTTCGGTAACCAACAGATAAAGAAGACCAGACAGAGAAACAGGACAGTTTTTGCGACTTTCTGCCGAGCTTGCAGCTGTTTTCGTGCATGCAGATCTTGATTGGCTGCTCGTTTCGCTTGAGAATGATAGTACATTCTTGCTGGCAGATGATCAGGCATGCTCTTCATCATTCGTGCAGACGTATTCGGAGAATAGATAACATGCCGTGTGTCGAATAAGGTCTTCGCGATGAGACTATAAAAAATTGATATGCAAATGAATGGCATAAGATAGTAGATGATTAAACGTAAAATTTGACGAACAATCATGAAAGTATGATTAATAAGTAATGAGTGTTCATTCGGACACCAACAATAGACTAATTCAATGGTTGAGTTATCCACTTGGGATACTCGTTCAGTAATCAGACCTAAAAAAAAACTCAAGTGAATCAGAAGAAAAATTCGAGTAAGAATCAACTTTACCACTGTAGACGGTTTCAGGTATGGCTAAGATGATGGCTATTAGCCAAATGAAGAAAACGACGATTTTCAATTGATTCGATGGATCGCTAGCATGGCTCGCTAATGGTTTTGCGATGATTTTGTATCGATCTACACTAAGTGCTAGCAATGAAAAAACTGACACGCCGAGAGAAAGATTAATGATGAAATTTTCAAATCGGCAGTAAAATGTTGAGAAGGGATAATATTCTAGTGAATAAGCCACGGCACCGAATGGAACACAGAACAAAACAAACAGGAAATCACCGACAGCTAAACTAACAACAAGTAGATTTGGTACTGTACGTAGGTTTTTTTGACGGAATACGATAACTGAAATAGGTATAATCAAAGAATAAGTCAGTCGATTGTTTGGAATCTTTACTTACATATTAATAGTCCATTACCAATTAAGCCAACAATATACACCAGACAAAACAGAATTAATGCGATGATACGATATGCAATTGCCATCGGTTTGAAAATATGTGCTGTAACCGAATGAAAGGATTGACAAATCTTTGATCTATTTATATGAAGAAGGGACAAAATACTCATGAGATTTTCATCATTATTTTCTTGTTGTGCTGTTCCTGTCTATTCTCTATCGTCAAAGACCCTTTCTTTCTTTCATTTCCTCTCGTGTACATCCATACGCTCTGTTGAATGACTTACAATGCAATCAACGACAATACTCAAATTAATGAATAATTCTCAAGCAAGAAAACCAGTATTTCACTTTGTATTTATTGCATGATATGATAGACTAATCCGCTCGCGGATGATGTTATCAAGTGATTATATCTCAACAATAGGTTAGCTATCCAACAAAAAAAATGATAGAAAAAAAACATCAATAGACTCGCACACTGTAAGCACAATGAAAAAAAAACCATCATTGATATTGAATTTCAATATATCGTCCTTCTTTTCCAAAACGTGAGTGTCGCTTTTCCATCTCTAAGCATAAAAGCTTCACTTGATCTTCATCAGTAGTAGTATGTCCTCGCAAGTAATCAAAAGTTTTCCGTATTAGGCGCATAATGACTGCCAGATGTTGATCGTCAACTTCATTAACATGACAACAAAGTACGTGGATGAAAATATAGTTTGTAAATAAATCGTTTATTTTTAAAAAATCAATATTGCTGAAAAGTGTCGAGTAATCAGAAAAAAATATAAATATATGACTCGTTATTGATTTTTTGCAAGAAAGACATATTAAATATTATTGAGAGGAAAAAAGATAATAAAATCAATCATAGGCTTATTTTTGCTCGAGATTTGTGACGAGTTCACCGTATCGAATGCGCGATGTAACACCATTGACAGCTAATCGCCATCGGCCAGTGTATAGCGAAGCACTTTCATCGATGTTTGAACGGAGTTCAGTGAGTTTTTCTGAAAGAAAAAATTCGAATTGGAAAAAACGAAGGAATTTGTCAGTGAATGAACATACTGCTATCTTTGACTACAACAGATAAACGTGTGTTCAAGTTAAGACCAATATGAATATCGATGTCACCACCGCTTTCATACAAAGTTTCTTCTTTACAGTTTTTAATCAAAGCACGAACACGTAAATCTGGATAACGGATGAATAAGTCATTGTCAAGTTCGATGCGGAATGGTTGTGGTAATCGGGCACCAACACGTAGACGTACTGTATGAACGATTTCCTTTGTGCTTGTTCGAACAATTTGGATGTAAGCATCGAATTCGCCGTTAACTTTGATTTCATTTGTAATTGAAACGATTTCTCCAATGACGAGTGTTGGCAAGTCGATGATCAAATTGATATTCCATGTGCTTTCCAATGCTAATTGAAGGAGAGCTGGACGTGGCATACGTAAGATAACAGCATTTTCATAGATGATATCAGCATGAAGATAGAGTGGGATCTTCTTTTCGAGAATGATGGAGTCAACAAGCATTGTAAAGTCATAGAGACTGTTTGGTGTTGATTGAAGGTAAACTTCCGAATAGATAAATGGTTTTTCAGGTGTAAGGTCATCAGTGATGTACAAATGTAAAGTTGTACCCGATGGTAAATCGAGTGAACTGCCAGTTGATGTTACTTGACCTTTGACGACGATTTGAGGTGTTCTGGATAATGTAATGACAACAGTTGCTTGGTTGCGTGGTGAGAAAGCAAAAACTTGAGTTGCTGGAATAACAACGCTGTTACGAACAGTATATTTAACAATGAAGTAATAAACAGCATTCAAGTCAAATTTGTTTAATGGTAATTCAATGTCGAAGTCGACTGGTAAAGTACGATTGTCAACTTTAATACGGAATTCATCAACGATTCGTGGATTATCTAATGATGGTGTTGTGCTGATTTGAAGAATAAGTTCACTTTTTTCTGGTAATGGTCCTTTGACACCGTTAATTTGGATGACACCTCGGACTCGTTGAGATGTTTTGATGCTACGTACAAAAATGCGTACATCACTAAGAAGACCAGATCGTGGATCGACAGCGATAGCACTTGTTGCTGGTTTGTATTCGAAGAGGTTGCGTCCATTTTCGATCACAGCTTGTAAACGATAAACATGAGCAAGGTTGAGACGGTTGAAGTCAATTTGAATTTCGAAACGAATTGGGAAATCATTTTCTAAGTGGATTTTCCATGATTGAACAATAGCCTTTTCAGGATCAGCAATTGTATCGTCGAGTAAATAGAGTTTTGCATAAGCTGATGATGACCATTGAGCTGGACGTTGGTCGACATCGCTGATAATACCACGGACTAAGTTAAGCGAAAGAACGGGCAATTGAATAAGAAGTGGTGGTCGTTGACTGTTGGAGATAAGTAATGTTTTCGATACATGAGTAATGATGCCCTTGATTTCGATCATCATAACCAAATAGTAGTTTCGATTAGCTTGAACACCTGTTGTTGGAATTTTGATTGTGAAGTCACGGAAGTTGCTGGGAATATCTTTGATTGTCATGCTGACGACTGGTTTAGTTGGTGTTTCGGGTGTTTCAGTAACGAAAATACGGCATGTGCTGCCTGGAATATAGCTTAATTCTTCACCAGTTGATGATTGAATACGAGCTTGAACATAGTAAAGATAATCATCGACGGGAATGGTAATTTTGCCCATATCATCAAGAATTGGAATAGCTTGTGAACTGATCATGTAAATATCGTTGTTTTTATCGGTAAGTTGAGCTGTGATTTCATAGTTTTGTGTTGGATCGAATCGACTCGATTCGGTGATGTTAATTTGAAAGTATTGTGGAAGCATGGTAACTTCTGGAATACGATAAACAATATCTGGTTCTCGACTGCCGATTACACGGAGGTTAATGCCAAGGGATGAACCGGGTTGAACGACAAACGAGCCTGGCATTGAACGTGTAACTAAACCTTTCAAGATGAGTGGTGATGGAACAACGTTGAAGACCAATTGTGGTGTAATAAGAAGTCTTTGTTCGCTGATGAGCCAGACAGGTTCACGATTAACCAAACGACGAACACCTTTGACGATAACATAAGCGAGAGCGTAATATTTCGTGTTAGGTTTTAACATTTGATAGTGAACTAAGAGTGAAAATGGAACTGGAAACATGGACGGAACGTTGCTAATGGTTAATTGAGCGACGGCATCTGTTGTTGAAATTTTTTTTTGTACAAGAGTGGCTTGATCGACAACAACAACTTGAAAAACGGTTCCGGGTTCAATAAATCGTTGACCGTATCGGCTGCGGAATAAACCATTGACTTCAAGACCATTGGCACGGACAAAAACTTCGAGTGGTTGAACGTTGCGGTTGGTTCCTTTTAAGAGAATTTGACTGATACCAGCTGGAAGGAAAGTATCAATAACTCGTTCGGAATCGGTGATGTAAGCAAAGAAATATAAGGTGATATCAGCACGTTCAAGAAGACCACGTTGTTTATCTGGTAAGTCGATGTCAAGTTTGAAAGTAAGTGGGAAATTGTCTTGTTTGTAAAGAATTGGAAATTTAGCGAAAGCTAATTTTGGATCGTTTGTTTTGGATGTTGAAACGTAAAGTGTAACATGACTTCCACGTGCAAGGAAATCGCGAGCAAAAGGAAGAAATGGTCGAGTACTTCGTTGATTATCAGTGTTGACTAGTGAACCATCGAGATCGTATTGTACTGTTTCGACAACTGATGGACGATATTTGACGAGTGTGATCGAACCATGAACATGAACTGACTTGACAGGTGTACGAGGACGCTACAATAAAAGACAAATTACGATACGGGTACACATAGTTTTAAGACATACGTCAACGGATTCGACGCGATCTTTTCCTGTGTCTTTCTTTTCTTCATTATCCCGATGTTCATCATCACCATTTTCAATTCGATTTGGATCTTGATGATCTTCTCCTTCAACACGATCTTTACGACCCTTATCACCAAGTCTGTTTCGACGATCTTCTTCGTCACGATCTTTTCCACTTAATTTGCTTGGACGATCTTCTTCTTTACGGTCTTTTTCACTTAATTTGCTTGGACGATCTTCTTCTTTACGGTCTTTTTCAGTGAATTTGCCTTGACGATCTTCTTCTTTGCGGTCTTTTTCAGTGAATTTGCCTTGACGATCTTTTTCATCATCTTTGACTTTACTATCCTTTTCATTGTCTTCGTCTTTACGACCTTTGGACTTTGTGATGGTTTCTTCTTCTTTGGTTGTTACAATTTTCTTGTGGGTTCTTACTTCACCATCCTTAAGATCATGTTCATCGGTGGCATCTGTTCCCGATTTGGTAGAATCATCTACCTGTGTAGTTGCAAGAGTTGTCGTAGAAATACGGCTTTTTCGTCGTCCGCTTCGATCTTTATCTTGACCATGGACATGTGCTGCTGCTAAAAGCACCAGTACGGCGAGAAATAAACCAATTTTCATTTTGTTTACTTTCTCCTAAACGAAATGTCATATTCTAGCAAATGAAGTTCAATCTATTAATCAACATACCTCTTAACGTATTTGTTTCGATTTAAAAATGTCGGTAAATAACGATAATCGAAAGACTTATTTAATATATGCCTTTCTTGAATAACGGGAAACACGATTATGCTGACTATTTATACCCGCATCTATGAAACTTTCTGGCCGACGTAACCGTCACATAGTCAGCTCCTTTTCCATTGTTATTCACAAAGAACAGCGAATGATATCACTCTCTCCGTCTTTGTTGACATATATGTACAGTGGGTCATTGTGGTCTCGTCAGTCAGACATGGTTATATGTACGAGGTGAACACGGACGAACGAAGTTTTTCTGAAGAGTGGAGAGAACGGATAATCTATCTAGAATATATATTCAAATTTGACGAAACAAACATCTCCGTCTGATCTTTGATACTGTTTGTTTCGAACCGACGTCTTTTAAGGTTGCATTCACTTGAAATTCTGATAGATGCTTCTGCATTCAGAACTCTTCTGAACAATGAGTGTTTATAATTGACAAGTACTGCGAGTGACTGAATTCATTGTCTTTCTTATTTCACCTTCTTGATTCTCAACAAATCAATCGAAGGTCATTGCGCATTATTACACAACTGTTTCTTACAGTCTAACATATATTTTATAGGTTTACCAACGAAAAAGTATCCAGAGATCAGTATTTCGCATACAGAGTTTGATAGTAAGTCGACAGAAATGTTTTATGCTGTTTATCTGTTTGTCGCTGTCGTGTCGATTGACGAAGTGCTGGTAAACGATATGGTACGAAACCATCTTCTCCATCACTTGTATATAAATGCGGTGTAGTTAGTCGTGTTCGATTTGTTTCTGTAGATCTCTGATCCATGAGATCATCGGACGGTGTTGGTGGTGGATCGGAATGACGTGGAAAATGCATTATTGATTCATCACGAACAATGGTAAGCAGTTTCGGGTTTGAACGATGAGATTGAAGAACTGGTAGATCCACGGGTGTAGCATTGGAAAGTAATGAATGGTATACAGATGTACGATAAGGTGGACGTGTGCTCTTTCGTTGATATTGTTGCTCGTCTTTGATGAATGTTGGAAGCGTCGTGTGATCAGAACGATAGTTTTGTCTTGCTTTAGTCAACGGAGTTGGTATCAAATGCTGAGATGAATAGACATGAAAAGAGAGATTTTTGAGATTGTCTCGCACTGTGGAAGTCCGCGGGTGGAAAACATTCGGGCGGTTGAGTTTTTCAATAAAATTTGCTTGTGTGATTAATGTCATTGATTTTTGTATGAAATTCTATATTCTTCAGACAAATCTGCTGAGCAACTCATATAAATGTTTTCATTTTGATTTACAAGAATATAGAAAAGGCTCGTGAAGGGCAGAGAAAAAAAAATTATTCTCGTCGTAGGTTAAAGGAGAAAACATATTGCACGAACTATGACAGGATGTTTATCTTAAGTTGAAGTGTATCGATTGATCGAATCAATCCATAGAAATGCAAATAACAATTTCTCTTTATGCACTGAAGAATTCTTAAAACACAAGATGTTTTGTATTCAGTAATTCATTTATTCTTTCAGCATATTATTTTAATAGCAGATTTCTATTCCTTCTAGGCAAACGAAACAGCTTTTCATTAATGCAAATCGGAAAATATCGAATTGATAGTCTACTTGACATAGATTTCTACCAATGGATAATCTTCATCTAACCTTCTCTGGACATTGTTGAAATAAAATGCAAAAAATGAACGAATTAATTGATATTGAAACTTATTAAATTAATTATTTTCAATAATTTCGAATCGATTTACCATTCGCGTAAATGATTCCACCAATCAGATTTCTCCAAGTCTGCAGAAGTTGTTTCCTTTTAAAAAAACATGTAAAATGCATTCTTCTCTTTCAATTACATTTTTCTTCCATCATATAGCTCAAAGATAAAATGCATTCAATTCTCTTTATAACGTTCTTTGTTGGCTTAATCACATTTACAACATCAAGTGACGTACTTGTTTTTACTGACAATGATTTCGAAACGAAAGTTAAACAACATGACATTCTACTCGCGGAATTTTATGCACCATGGTGCGGACATTGTAAGCTTAAGATGTTTGTCTTTCAAAGAGTTCCAATCAATTTTTCCTCTTATAGGTAAGCGGCTCGCACCTGAATATGAAAAGGCGGCAACAGCTTTAGCTAAAAATGATCCACCTGTTTCTTTGGTCAAAGTAAAGCAATTCATTTTTTGTTAGCGAAAAAGAACGAATCTGATTTCTAGGTTGATTGTACTGTGGAAACAAAAACTTGTACTAAATACGGTGTCAGTGGTTATCCGAGTATGTGTACTCTTTCTATACGAATTTTCTGTGTATTGACATGTGTGTAATACATAGCTTTGAAAATCTTCAAGAACGGTGAAGTTGCTGAAGACTACAATGGTCCTCGAGAAGCTGGTAGATATTTGAAAGGTCGATTTTTCTCTTAGAATGATGACCTTGGTTCTCTTTAGATGGCATTGTCTCGACCATGCGTTCCAAAGCTGGTCCATCCTACCGTGTTCTGAACACCTTAGCTGATTATGAAAAATTCTTGGAACATAACGATCACAGTATCATTGGTAATGCGATTTCGGAAAGTTGAGAAATACGATTAATTTCATTTGAATTTGTTTAGGTTATTTCGATAGCGAAACACAAACATTGAAAGATGATTTAGTCAAAGTTGCTAATCAATTATCTGAGAAATTCCGTTTTGCTTACACAACAGCAAAGGACATTTTGGAAAAAGCTGGTCATTCAAAGTATAGATTTTGACTTGCAAAGAGGTGTGTTTATTCTAATGCTTCTCTCCTTTCAGCAAAATTGTTCTTCATCAACCAAAACGCTTACAATCGAAATTTGAAGACGCTTTCACAGTTGTTCAAGATGTTGGTGAGAAAGTCAAATCATTCATTCAAGAAAAGATGTAAGTTTTTTTTTCAAAGAACGATAACATGTTGACAATCTTCACTTTTCTTCTAGTCACGGTCTTGTCGGTCATCGTACAGCATCGAATGTTGCTGACTTTTCTAAACCATCCGTTGTTGTCTATTACAACGTTGACTATACTCGTGATGCCAAAGGCACGAACTACATCCGCAATCGTATCTTGAAAGTCGCTAAGAAGTTAGCCGATGAAGGTGTCAATGTTCGATTTGCTATTAGTAATCTCGATGAATTTCGTCATGAATTAACTCAATACGGTATCAATGATGCGAAGAAAGATGCCAAATATGTCCTTGCTCGTGGTGCTCGCGATGAAAAATTCAAATTACCAGGCGATTTCAGTTTCGAAGCTCTTGAAGACTTTGCTCGTAAATTAATCAAAGGTGAACTCGAACCATACTTGAAGTCACAAGAAATTCCTGAACAAACTGGTGATGTTAAAGTTGTTGTTGCTAAGAACTTCGATGAAATTGTCAATGACAAAGATAAAGATGTTCTCATTGAATTCTATGCACCATGGTAAAATCTTTTCCATCATGAGAAATCTTCACTGTTTTTCTCTTGTTTTTTAGGTGCGGTCACTGGTGAGAGCATAGATGATCATTTGATTGATCAACGTTCATTGTTCTTTTCTTTAGTAAATCACTCGCTCCTAAATATGATGAATTGGCCAAGAAATTAAACAAGGAAAAGAGTATTGTCATGTAAGATCGAATGAAATTGACGAATTCAGAAAGAAAAACCCATGAACGACATTCTAGTGCCAAAATGGATGCCACAGAAAATGATGTTCCAAGTACATACAATGTTCGAGGTTTTCCAACGATCTACTTTGCACCAAAGAATGACAAAAACAATCCAAGAAAATACGAAGTAACATTTAACTTGTTCATAGGTTTACTAAATTGCGTATTCATTTGTTTAGGGTGGCCGAGAAGTAGATGATTTCATCAAATTCTTGGCTAAAGAAGCCACAGATGCACTTGATGGCTATGAACGCGATGGTTCAAAGAAGAAAGATGCTAACGCCGAACTATAAAACACTTTAGAGAAATTGTTTCTGTATTCTTTGCTTTGTTATGATTCTCTTCACGTTTTTATCTATTCCATTCTGTTGAAGTTCTAAGTGTCTTCTTTTTATTTGATTATTGCTTCTATGCTCAATTATATGCTCTAAACAAGTTGATTAGTTTTCAGAGGAAAAAACAAGAATAAACACAGCTGTTCAATTTATTGACAAACTAAGACATGATTCGTTTGTAAGAAGGTTACTGTTTGTAGAAATTGGAAATGAAACTGCTGCCTGTTATGGAAGGTACTGGTGACTGTTGATCTTCTTCGAGCTCATCGAATGAATCCATTCGGTTGACACAGCGATTTTCAAATGTGTATATTCGATTGGGAAGTTCAATATCACATGTTTTGCTTTTCGAACGAAATAAACGTCGAAAAAGACGAACAGTTTGTTGTCGAAAGAGAATCGATGTATAATAGTAGAGATAAAAGTTCAATGCCAATGAAACGTATGATGGTAGTCGAAGTAGATCAAACGTAAATGCAACACTATCATAAATTTCATTAGTGTCATACGAAATGGAAATGTATGGATAAATCACGGCAAGAATTGTTATTGGAAGATTACAGAGTATCAACGAAATCGAACTAGCTAAGAGTAGAGTGATTAGGGACAGATCGAGATGACGTTTGCGTAACTTCAAACGTCTTGTATATTGATCATAGATGATCAATATGTTGCATACAGTAACAATAACGAATGGTAGTAGAGCGTACGTAGTTAGGTCAATCCATGGCCAAATATTTTTGAAGAAAAACATGTACTTCGGATGATCAGGATTAGGATCACAATTATCGGCAGCATTGGCAGTAAAATCGCCAATAAAACTCGTTAAGAGATGAGCATTTTTTACGATAAAAATCACTGCTATAATACCTGAAACGACCATTGCCAGTTTTCTTGTTGCATACATTCGTGCTTTGATTGGAAATTTCACTTTTAAATACCTGTCAACAGATATAGCAACAACCATCCATGATGCCATATCCATTGACATGTACAAGAGAAAGTTACGAACTCGACAGTAATTTGCATTACGCACTTGAACATGATATCCGATCGTTAAGCAATGATGTAGACCACCGATTAATGCTGACGAATCGAAAAGGGCAAGTATGAGAAAATAGATGCCACATGATGTTTGATTAAGTTTCGTTACGGAGAAAACAATTGATGAAAATAAATTACCAATTAAACCCGAAAGAAAGACAAGAGGAAATACAATTGCATAGATATAATGACTGATTTGTTCAAGTACGCTTTTGTCAACAACGACAAATGTAGATCGTGAAGATGAATTCGTTCTATTCATTCTTTTGTGCTTTTATCAGAATGATAGTGTGATTGTATGTTGAGAGTGTGTGACTTAACAGCAAATGTTATCAGTATTGAGAGTAATCAGAGATAAGCTGAAGAATAAGTAGAAATCACTCTTGAGTCATTTAAGTTCTATTGAAAAGAACGTACCAGTCAATTCTTGTAATACTGAACAAGTTGATAAATGATTCTATTCTGAATATTTTTTAAATAATCAGCACCTCCTAAGAATGAACATGTGTTATAAAACCTGAAAGGAAATACATTGGTTTTCTTAGCAATATATCCATTTACCTGTGACTTCGATATATATCGTACATGTAGTGATGCCGGAGAAAAAGAAAAGCTTTCCATACATGATGTAATAACTCATTGTTTGATGGTAGTGAATATATATTTCAATTCATTGAAAAGTATTCTTGTGGAAGCAAAAGTAAACATTACATTGAAGATTTGATTAGTATATTCTTCCATCTGTTTGTACACAGCATTATCTGATTCACATCCCTATTCAGTTTTCAGATCAGCCAGATCGGCTGCACCATATCTGATTCGAAAAGAACTTTTCGTCTCTTCTATACATGATTCAGAACATACTTTTATTTTTTGATTCGTATTATTCACTGTCACCAAACGCTTTATGAGATACTGATAAAACCCATGTAAAGCTATAAGTGCATATATAGTTGAATTTAGATGTCCTCTCTTATTCTCATCTCACTCTCAAATCCAAGCCTAAATAATACGCTATTGAAGGACTCGTTTTTCATCAGTCAAGAAAGGAAATATCGACCATTGCAAATGATGTCACCATTATCACACTAAGTTCAACTCGTCGTGATATGATTGGTGAAGATGATTCACACTGTAAACTGTTTGTACGTACTTTATGTAAAGTCCCTGTCACTGATGCGCATGTATTGAGATTTTCATTCAAACAGCTTATTTACTGAGTTGAATATTTCGACATCAAAAAGCTATATAAATCAAGGAATTATACTGTCATCCGTTCATTTACTGCGCCAAGGTTCTGTAGTTGTTTAACGGTAGCTGAATAAAGTTCAAGAGGCAATTAATATTAATAGTAACAGAGTTCGACATCATGCACTTGGTCTTCTATACCAAATACATCAGTTGGATAAACATGCCACCAGACAATTGAATGTAAAATTCAGCAAAGCCAGTCTTCGGATTTGGAGTTCGTAGACATATTGTTTTCTTATTTACATTACAACTAATTTGATCAATGAAAAAGGCAAAAGATCAGTAGAAAATTTTACACAAATGTTCCAAATGTATGAATTATTCCTCTGTTTGACTTCTAAAACAGATTGTCCAATGTATGATTTCAGTCACTCACATCTACGTCGTAGAAATGAAATAGTTATCTTTGAGTCAGCATCAACAACTGTTTCATTTAAATATGTGACAACAGAAGAACTTATTTCAGTTGTTAATGCTTTTCGATTATTTTCTTCATCATCATCAAAACTTGTTCTATGCTGTGCTGCTGTTTGAATACTCAATAGCATAAATACACTGTCACTTAATGTCCAACAGCAATTACAACTTATAATATTGGTCTTGAACCGTTAATTACATATCTGAATCGATGAGTTCGAATATCGGCAGTAACAATATTTTTCCAAATACATTCTGCATTTTCTTTTCGATAGTTCTATTATATTATTCGTCTGCATTCTAGACTGGTTATAATGAAGCATAGATGTTGATCGTTTCAAAATAGTGGCAGTCGATGCCATTAAATAAAACGAAGATAAAGACTAAATAGCATTTGCATCAATCTAGTTTAATGAGTTTGTAGGTTTTCACGACAAGAGTATCTACGTGAACATGCGTCATCAATGGCATTGGGTGCCAACTGCTCAAGTGGAGAACGTCCCCAGGACGATCGTTCCTGGAAGCAGTATTCCGCTTATTTCCCGTGAAAACCCGCAGGATATTTATAGTATCCGCGCTGGAAACCACGAGAAAATACTCGGAATCCCACTGAAGAAACCGGTAACCGTATCCGACTAATGGTTATGGAGGGTTCTTGCTGGTTCCCGATAAAACCTTTTAAATGCGATGAAAGGATTCGGTAGCCGGAATACTGCTTCCATGAAATCGCCGGAAGGTCCTGGAACTAGTCAGTTCCGGGCCGGATTCTTCGGCCTGGGTCTTGAAGCAAAAGAAGATGGTAAGAATTTCTAGTATAGTTTAATATTCGTTTTTGAGTATCTCTTTTGAGAGATTTGGCTCATTCATGTGAATATGGCGCAGATTGTGGATACACACATCATTCGGAACTCGAGTTGTGCCATTATTGAAGGCATATCCGATCATACAAGTAATGTAACTCAGTTTTCTAAATTTCGTTTGAATAACTATCTGCTCTTCGTATTTTGGCAGAGTTCAGCAAAATGTTACATGCTCTATCACCAAAAATGTCAGTAATTTTACAACGAGCAACTCTTAGTCAAGATGACCAAATTCGTGGTCGTACAACATTTTGTCACCTAATATTCCTTTATCCATACTTGAACATCTTTTACATCGGCATATGATGAAACCAACAACGAAATCATTCCATGTTGGATTTACACCTGTTAGAGCAGGTCAAGTTCGACAACCGGAAGGTTTGATATTCGTTGGAATTTTGGTTCACCGATAACATTCCTCAGTTTCTTCTATAGCAAACGTTATCATTCGTGTTGACTTTGCTCGAGATGGTATCAAAATGAAGAAAACTTGCGAGTATTTTCTATTCTGTTCTATCAGAACAACTATCATCTGTGTTAGAATTCGTTTGTATCAATTCGATCTTTCAATGATCATTATCTATTGATTTGACCGAAGGTGAACTTGAGTTTGTTGTCTGTCACCAAGTACACATACTGTTTCATTTGATCTCTTTTCTGTACGCAGTGTGAAATAAAATAGAAATGATTTTTTTAAAATAATTTTTATTTATCCTGTGTTCGAAATAATCGAGCACAGGAAAAAAACACGAAGATAAAATTGAAAAAAAGGGGAGGGGAACAATACTTGGAGGTAGGAGGATAGGTTCATTAGGGGGGGGGGGGGGGCCTTATCGGGGAAAGTTGGGGGGGGGTATGGGGGATTTGGGTGATAGTGTAGGGTGCCGGGTGGGAGA